TACATTGGGAGGCAGCGGGACATTTCGTGGTCGTCGCCTGAGGAAGAGAAGGAGGAAGTGCAAGCGGACGAGGAACAGCTGCACTCTGAAAAGAAGAGAAAGCGCGAGGTCGTTGAGGAGGAGAGGAAGAAGAATAATGAGAATAAAAGGGGAAAGAAGGGCGAGAATAAGAAGGAGAAGAAGAAAAAGCCCCGGCGCGACAGGGACGACAATAGGAGGTACGAGGAGAAGCAGCAACAGGGGAAGGGGACGAGGGACCGGTGGTCGTCGGAGAGGTACGAGGCGGCAGAGATGAAGCTGCTGGAGATCATGAAGGAGAAGGGGGCGGAGCTCGGGAAGCCCATAATGCGGCACGCGTTGAGGGAGGAGGCGAGGAAGCACATCGGGGACACGGGCCTCCTGGACCATCTGCTGAAGCACATGGCGGGCAAGGTGGTGACCAACGGCACCGAGCGGTTCCGGAGGCGGCACAACTCGGAGGGCGCAATGGAGTACTGGCTGGAGCCAGCGGACTTCGTGGAGGTCCGCCAGAAGGCTGGGGTGGCGGACCCCTACTGGGTCCCGCCACCCGGGTGGAAGCCTGGCGATGCGCCTGCATGCCCCTGTGATGGTGAGATAAGGCAACTCAGAGAGGAATTATCACTTCTGAAGAGGTGCCTCTCTCTCTCTCTCTCTCTCTCTCTCTCTCTACTCGTCTTAGTTGTAAACGTGCTTGACGAAGTAAAAGTGGCGCATGCAGGGATATGGACCATCTGAATTCACTGAAGCAATTGGAGAAGGTAGTTAACGAAGCCCAACCTGAACCTGAAAATGGCGGCAATACTTGGCAGGTGATTAAGCTTTCTTGGGCTTAAAATGTGGAAGATTTGTTTCCAAGTTGCACGCAAGTTCACAATACTTGTCTTTAGTCTCGAGTTCTTTATTAAAACTTAGCCTAGAATAATATACATCAAGAACAGGTGAGATTGTATCAATCCAGGATTACCACATTCATGCATTTGCTTCGGCGGCTTATTTATTGTTCTCCTTTACCAATCTCCTTGACGGGTTCCAGGAGAACTGCAGGAGCTTGATGGAAAGGAATACCAAACTTAAAGAAGAAATAAGTGTCATTTTTATTTGTTTGCAGGGTTTGAAGGTACATTTACACGTGGTTTATTGCTTTGATTTCATTCAACACTTCTCCAGATGATTCTTTCTCTCCTTTTTTTTTATTTTGATTAATGTTCTACAGTGTATTTACCATAGTTCATTTCGGTTGTGTGCCGGGTAACGCAGGAAGAGATAAGACTTCTGAAGGAAGAGAAGGAAAAAAAGAACATGGAGATGGAGGCAATGAAAGAAGACAAAGGCGTGCAGTACGAAGGAGATGACACCATGCAACATGATGGAAATGAGAACAAACGAGATGGGGACGCCAACGACGGCAACAGCAATTCCAATATCACTGACAGTATCATGAAAGACACAAACAACAACAGCAATAGCAACATAAGCAACCTATCCATTACAGCCGTCGATATAACTAAGAGTAGGAGCGCCACCACAAACAGCAAGAGGGTGGCGGCACGCCGGAGTGGGTTCAGGATCTGCAAGCCTCAGGGTACGTTCCTGTGGCCGGACATGTGGAGCAGTACCAGCAGCAGCAGCGCCGCTGATGGTGGAGCCGGGGTGTGGCGTCCGCCGGGTTCGCAGGTGGTCCCCAACCCCATGATGACCACCATGACGACAGCGACCATAGAGGAGCATCTGATGCTGCTGGGTGGGGTCCCCACTCCTTCGTCGGCCTCTACCGCCACCTCGGCGCCCAGGCTCCTGCTACTGCCTTCTCCGGCGTCCCCAGCCCACACACATCCTCCAGAGGTCATGGCGGTCCCCCCGCCTCCTCCTCCACCTCATCATCACAACCACCATTTGCAGATGCTGCAACAAACGGGCGGCTCCTGCGACATCTGCCCTTCCGTCGTGTACCGTCACATGGTGGCACGCGTACTCTCTCTCTCTCTCTCTCGCTCGCTCTCTCTCTCTCTCTCTCTCTTTCTAACATTCTGTTGTAGGTTTGGGCGCAGACAACTTCACCAACAATGCTGCCTAGAGTTGGGGGTGGGCCGGAGGGGAACAAAAGATCGGAGGCGGCGGCTTCCTGGGACTCACACGAGGGAGGGAGAAGCGACATCGCCACTGATCTCTCCCTCGCCACGCCCTCCACCACCTACCGATGAAACTAGTGCATCTCTTCTAGATACTTGGTGCTTTTACTACAACTACTACTACTACAATACTGCTCTTAGGGCTACATGTAGTACGTACACGTCCAAAACCTTAGGGATCATACCAGCATGCTTCGTTGCGTTACCCCATTCTGAGCATACTCAAATAGAAAGTCCCAAGGGCGGATGTAGCTTCTGTGATTTCTTACATGCATCTCCACATACGCTTCTGGGGCCTTAGTAATCAGAACTAGTGCCTCTATCACGGATACAAATTCGTCACTGTCAAAGCACCTTTTGATGACTCTAGATCTGTGCATTTTATATCATCAGAAGAAAAATTTTCCCAGGAAAAACAGAATAAGAATTTTCTCGTGATCAGAATGGTGAAAGGGGGCAGCAAGAGCATTTGCAGTCTGCTTGCCTGCTCCAAACATGGAAAGAGCAAAAGCGGTGGAGGAAGAAGTGCGTAATCTGTTCAGCTGGGAGCTATGCACTCAGAAAGCAGGGAACAGCACGTGCCAATCAGGTACGCCCGCAGGCAGACAACTCAGTGTTGCAGATTGCGTATTTAAACGTGTAGGCTTTCTGCGTGCATAAAAAGAAAGAAAACATGTAGGCTTTACTGCCTCTCTAATAATGCGCGCATGAAGCGACGTTAAATAAAATCTTTTAACAGTAATTAATTAATTTTAATTTTGAACCTAACATCAGTAAGTGAAGCTAAGATCTTTAGCGTTTAATACATCGGAAGCTAATAAGAAGTTATATAAAACGATGTCTTGTCCTTTTTTTCAAGCGTTCAAACAGGTAAGTGATGCCATATCTTCTTTAACAGTGAGCGTTCAAAATCTTAATAGTTTCGTTGTGGGCGGTATTTGCTGATCACAAAATAAATCTGCATGTTCTTTTCCTTATTGTAAGCCAAAACATACCAATCATCGTTTTCTTGTCCCCAAAGAAATTGTCCACACTTGGATAATTCTTCGTTAAAACATTGTAATTGACTAAAAGAATTGGTGCGTGTCCTGACCAATGGATCAGGATTCTAAGTGGATAATAATAGAAAATGTTTTTAAGTGATCCAAATTCTAAACAGTTTGATCAAAGTTAAAATGTGATGAAAAGTAAAAAAATAATAAATTTTGATCAAAGTTTTAAAAACTAAAACAATCTACAAAATATTTATAAAGGTTTAATGTAGAATGTTTTTGATTTGGAGTTCAATCACTTTACCTAAATAAAATTATAATAATTTTATAAATTTATGAAGTGGTGGAACAATGTATCTCATATATTTTGGTTCTACCTTTTATAAACTCTTTTATAATCTTTATAAATATTTTCTAATCCATGATGGATTTCATAACTTATAAATTTAATTTAATTTTTTTGCTCTTTTATCAATTGTAACACATTTTAATCAAAATTATGTCAAAAATAGCAAAAATGACTTAAGGATAAATTAAATTGATATCTAATAACAACTATGATTATTTCTTGACAGTACTATTATATTTTTAATAATTCATGCTATATTTATTAAGATATTAATTAAAAGTATTATTTTATTATTTAATATATCATTATAGTCGCATTTGGTTTATTGATATTTTTATATTTTCTTTTGATAAAGAGAGAGAAAAGTATCTCAGTCTTTTGAAGTCATCCTTTTCTAGGTAAAAAGGAAAAAATAAAGAGTTTTTTTAATGATCTTATCTTATAAATAAATATAATTTTATTAGTATTATATTTTAAAAATTAAAATTATGTAAAGATAATATTGATATGCATAAAAGATATTTTAATGAAAGGACATGTCTCTTACAACAATATCATTTAAATGTGATATTTGGGTTGCTTTTTAAGCTTTATAAATAGAATTATAAATAGCTATAGTTTATTAATTCATATTTCAATACAATTTCTTCTCTTTATTTTTAAAAATATTATTATTATTTTCTTTTGCTACTTGGTTTGTTAAGAGAGGTTAGTTAACTAACTCTATAATTATGCTCATAAGAAAGATAATATCGATTCGTGTTCGCAAGGATAAGATGGATTGAATATTGAGATTAGAATTTCAATCAATCCCATATGTAAGGATGAGTTTTTCATATTAATACATTGATTACATGCCTTTAAGTTTTTTTTCTAAACTTTATCTTTATATTTTTATTATTTTAATATCTTATTTGTTTCTTCATCAAAATTTGTATATCATTATTTTGCTCCAACAATTTAAGATAAAATCTCAATGAATTTCGGTTAGAATTACAATAATAAATTAATATGATTAAAACTGATTAATTATCATGTTTTCTTAATAATTCAAGTATTTACTTATTTATCGTCTAAATTGAGAATGGCCAGCATTTACTTCTAGTTTTATCTAATTATTCACTATTTGATCTTTGTTGGATTAATTAGATGCATAATTTATGTGAACGAAGATTGTACTAAATTTAACATTAAAATTAAGATATATTATAATTTGAGACTCAAAACCTAGTGTATTAATAAAAATATTATCAGTTTATAGATATTATTTAGAAATTAAAAAAAATCCTAAAATAAAAAAAATTCTTTTTTAGAGACAAATAAAAGAATATCATATCTCATTATATTAATGATAATTTTAGTAGTTTAAAAACATTGCTTCGTACAAAAAAATGTCACGTCTTGTTTCTTTAACATATAGCTGTATATAACGGTGTGATGTCAAACTACCCGCTACGTAGATTGGGTAAATATAACGGAACGATTTTAGAATGTAACGCTTGGGCCGAGTGGCATCTATATAACCGGAGGGCCCACTCTGTTGCAATCACAACAACTTCTCTGCCCTCGCGCGCTCTCCTCCTCTCGGCTCTCGGCGATCTCGTCGTTCTGCGAAGGTCGGAACTGCTCTCCGACGAACACGAACGGGCACAGCTGCGAGGGTCCTTCCCTTCGATTTTTATTGCGGTGATCTCATTCCTTTCTTTTTTCTCTTGTTTCGTTTCGCTTGGTTCTTCATCCGTCGAAATTTTGATTCGGGTTCAGAATTTTTGTTGGTCTTGGGGTTCTTTTAATCGATTCTTGGTTGTCGACTTTCTTGTGGGAAGATCGATCTTTCTGGTTTTCTCGATCGTTTTTCGTCACCACGCCAGTCTCGTTCTGGTTTCGATTGGAAAATATGTCTTCTTCGCGTTCTAGGCGTGTGGAGTACGACCGCTTCATCCCGTTCCGGTCGGCGATGGACATGGACTACGCACGCTTTGCCCTAACCGGGCCTTCGAGACCGCAGCGTGATGGTTCGAGGGAATCCCCATCGAGCGTGGCGTACCAAAAGCTTCTTGATGACTGCATTTTGAAGAACAGTTCTCGTATCCTCGCTTTCAAGACTGCACCTGAAGCGCCGGCCAGCAAGCTGCCCCAGTTTGACGAGCCCATTCGGCCGCAGAAGAAGCAACAGAGGCGAATCCCGAAAGAACCAGAGAGGGTTTTGGTAATCCACGGCTTGTTGGATGATAATGTTTTGAATCTCCTCGACTGGGGAAGCAATAATGTGTTGGCGATTGGCCTTGAGGACGCAGTGTATCTCTGGGACGCTGCAAACGAGTCGACTAAGGTTCTACAACCCGTAGAAGACAGAGGACCTATCACTTGCGTCCGATGGTCGCCAGACTGTGCAGTTCTTGCTGTCGCATTTGGCAATTCAGATTTAGCCCTGATTGATCCAGCAACAGGACATTTCGTGGATGGGATGGAAGATGAGAACCAGGCCCCTGTGTTGTCACTTGCGTGGAGAAGTAATTCAATCTTGACGGTCGGAAGATTTGATGGCACTATTGTTGATTATGACTTTAGAAAGGATGACATGTTCATCTGTTTCTACAATGGGCATCGGCGTGGAGTTTGTAGTCTTAAATGGTCCGTGTTGTCAGGGCGATATTTGGCGAGTGGAGGGCAGGACAAACTAGTGCACATATGGGATGCCTGCATGCCTGTCTCACGTCACCATCCACGTCAACGTCAATGGCTTCACAGGATCAGCAGCCACACTTCCGTTGTGAAGGCCGTTGACCGGTGCCCAACTCGGAGCAACTTGTTGGCTTCTGGTGGAGGTTGCAATGATCACTGCGTTAAGTTTTGGAACACTATTAATGGTGCTTGCTTGAACTCGATTGATGCTGGCTCTGAAGTTTGTGCATTGCTACGGGACAAAAACAAATCTGAATTACTGACCTCCCATGGTCCGCCGAACAATCAACTCACCTTGTGGAATTACCCATCCATGACGAGAGTGGCTGAGGTTTTCGATCATTCATCCCGGGTTCTTTCCTTGGCTGGGAGCCCACTGGGAGGTGTAGTAGCTTCTGCAGCAGCAGATGAGACAGTCAGGTTTTGGAATATCTTTGAGACTCCCAAAATAATAAAACCTGAACTGCCCTTTGCCCAATTTAATGTCATAAGATGAAAAGGCAGATTGGTGGAAATGATTAAGATTCCAAATGGAAGACTTCTCTAGTGCTTGGCATGAAGATCTGTTGTTGGTAGCATTGCGATGGGAAGTTTCGTGGTGTCAAAGAGGCAGCACATTTTCATACAAGCGTATAGATTTGAGATCTTCAAATACGAGCGCTACTGTCTAAGGTAAGTTAGAAGCCTTACAGCCTTTTACAGCATTTTAGTAGGCTTATTTACAACATGACTGTCATTGCAGCTACGAGGCTGATTTTTGTTTCCTATTTATTGTTTATCATTTCATAGTTATCGATATGATTATTGCCCAATTGATGAAACATGTGGTCTATGATTATTGCCCAATTGTTATAATCTAATTATGTGGTTTAAAGTGATTTCAATTTGCTTCTCTTGTGTTTCTTTTTTGTAAGTTACTATCTTTGTCTCATTTTTGTTTTAGAATTTTTGTGTAGACTATATATTTTGTTGTGTATGCTAATCATGCATAATTAGATCAAACTGATAGATGCTTATTTTTTTTTCTTTTTTGAGTTGAGATTTCTTATGATATTCAATATGGCCTTAGTATCACATGAAGACATCACATTGCACACCTAGAAGAGTGTTTGACAATCGAGAAATCTATGCATTATAAGAGGTAATTGCCTATGGTCTTATGTTTCTATTTTTCTTTCCGACTATAGGTTTCCTATGATACAAGTTAAACTTAAAAATTTTATATTCTTTTAGGACTATTAAGAAACTTTGAAGATTGAACTATGTAGCTCTATTGCCAGAACAAAGCACTTGCAATATGGCCTTAAGTATCACACGAAGATATCATATTGCCAAAACAAACTTTGAAGATTGAACCGTATAACAAACTTCAGATTTCCTTTTTCATTTTTTTTTTGAGTTGAGATTTCTTATAACATTCAATATGGCTTTGTTATCACATGAAGAAATCACATTGTATATCTAGAAGTGTGTTTGACAATCGTGAGATCTATGCATTATAAGAGGTAATTGCTTATGGCCCTATGCTTCTTTTTTCTTTTCTAACTATAGGTTTCCTATGATATAAGTTGAACTTCTGAATTTTATATTCTTTTAGGACCATTAAGAAACTTTGAAGATTGAATTGTGTTGCTTTATTGCCAGGCCAAAGTACTTTCACATGATGAATTTAAAATCTTGCTATGTTGTCTTTGCTAAATCTTTATTCACAGATATAAGGATATTAAAGCATCTTTGGATTTGCTTAGAGGGTGAAAATATGGAAACTTATGATATTGCACAACTATAATCATATTCAACAACTAAGAGATCTATGCATAATTTTGATCTAAGATGTAACTTCTTATGTCTTTATTTTTTGGGTGACTAAGGGTTCTTAATGTTTCATTTTATAATGAAGAATAAATTATCTTCACTTCTCCCATGTTCAATTTTATCTTCACTTGTTAAGCTTTGTTCTGTACTGATCATGTAATTTATAGGTGGATGCAACTTTGTTGTCCTTAAATCAGAACATCAATTAGTTGTATATGGAATGACTTTTTGTGCTGTACTTCACAATTTGTTACTCTATGGTTTTATGTGTACTGTTGCAACACATAGTTTATAAATGTTAAGGACATTTCAAGATTGCCATCGTTAAGGATTTGCTATCACTGAGCTGAGTGGGAGGACATGAATTTTAGTTGTTAAACCAAATATTTAGTTTCTTAAGGCTAACTTATATCTGTTCATTTATTGTCTTTATTGTAATTACTGTCAATATCTGCTGCTTTTTTTTTTCCTTTCACTGGCTTGATTTAAAGCTCATCTCGTATGATCTGATTGAAAATCAATTTTTGACCGAGCACACTGAACTCCTGAGTTCCAACTGAAATCTTTGGACACCTAACTGTTTTTTTTTTATCTGATCAAATTTGAGGGTGGTTTTTTTAACTGTTTTAGCCTTCAGATTTTTTTTATGTTCTTTTAGGACCATTCTAGAACCTGTGAAAACTTTTATTTGGTATAGATCTTATTTCACTACGGAGTACTCATTTCACTTGAAATAGTATTTTTGTTTTATGTTTATTTGCATATACAAAGATACTAAAGCATCTCAGGATTTTGTTTAGAGGGTGAAAAAATTTGAAAAATTGTGGAGTTACAAAACTAGAATTATGTTTGACAATCAAAAGACTGTTGATCAACCACTCAGATATTGTTAAAAAAACTGTTCATGAAATCCATAATTTGAAATTTGAAATTTTTCAAAAATAAAGATAAGTTCAAGAGTGAAATCCAAGCCTAAAATTTTCTATTTTTAGTAAGATGTGTTATAATTTCTGTAGAAAGCAATTATTCAACCTAAGAGAACTGCAAACCATAGTATATACCATAATAGTAAAGCAATACCAAACAAATAAATCTATGAGCTTGATAAAGGTGAGGCATTGTAATTCTGTTTATTATGGTTTTCCCCGTGAAATGAACAAAAATATCAAATTTATATGTCTTTCCATGAATAGATTAGGTCTTCTGCAACATAGATACACTTTTGATCCTAAGATAGAGCTTGAAAAATGGTGTCAAATGGGATATAATGCAGGTTTTAAATTTTGGAAGTTAGCTTACTAGACCAACAATTCACAAATGCTTCATTATAGTGATAGTGGAGTAGTTTGGGTCCTTCCGATTAATAGGATCTTCATTAAAGATTCCAATTTGTAATTATTTCAATCTATGGGATTTATCTTGCTGAATCAGCTATAGTTGTAGCAGAGTGGTAGCAATGTTCATGAGCTTGATAGACAAGCTTGCTATGTTTCATATAAATGTTCACCAATTAATGACATGGCTACTATTTCAGTATTTTTTCAATTCTACTGTTGTGGTCATTTACCACAAGTTTCAGCATCCAAGCACTATATCTGAAATTTGTCTTGTGTAAGTATAACACCGACCTTTGAGTTGGTATTTCTTGTTTTCAACTTCCCTATTTGTTTACTGAGATTAAGGTAGCAGCAGCGGTTGTGATTATTTATTGCGATTCCAGTAATATCACGTGGTACCAAGTTTGAATTTGACATGATAATTCCGATTGAATTATTTAAGTCATCATTTTTTATAATAATCTATTCATGATCTTGTTGGTTGTAATGGAGAAACAAATTGAATATTGGGTAAGCATTTGAAGTTTCCATCACCAAAGTTATCATCCCTTCCAGCACCTCTACCTCTATGCCCCTTGCCACCGTCATATATATCTTGTAAATTATCATTGACCTTATGGACAAGGCTAATACGGTGGAGATTGATGATCCTCAGAAAGTTCCAGAGCTTGATTGAGATAAATAAGAAGCTGCAGTGAAGCTCATGGCCAAAAGTGCGTGCACCCTTTGCAACAAGGGGAAGGTGCATATACAACCTTCTTTTTCTCTTGATTAATGATTGTTGGTGTTTGAATTATAAAACTAGAAATCAGTTTTATGTTATGAAATTATGCATTTTTTTTATTGATGCGCATATATGGTTAGTTCACCCTTATTATCCAGAATAATAATTATTCATACTGGTCAGATTTTGTTGTTCCCCCCTATGTTTCAAATGGTCTGAATATTTCTACCTGACATGGAGTCATCCATAAAAGATCCTTCTACTAGGTGCTTGTTAGTGTTTGACTTGAAGCCTCACACTTTCAATATAAATTTGAGAGAATATGTACATGAATGAACAACCAGTTTACTTTTTTCCTCAAAAGTGTATGATTTTATATAAAATCTCCAAGCTAATATGCTAGACATTGTTTGTCATAAATGAACTAACAAAATGAAAGAAAACAGGAAGAACTCGCAAGATTGAATGTTACATCTTTGGACAATGTATCATTGGAACTAGAAGCTCAGTTTAAACACGCATAATGAATTGGTCCCCCTCCCTCTTTTTCTGTGCTTTCTGAACTTCTTAATGAAATATTTCAAATTGTTTTGAAGAGTTCAGTTATTCCAAGAATTACTTCAATGCATTTTAGTGATATACTAAGTGAACTGATTTTGCAAAAAATTTAGAAGTCATCTGTTATTTTTTTTGTTGAGCCTGCATATGGATTTTAAGAAGGACACGATTTTTAAGTTCCATCATATTTTTTCCTCTTTTTCACCTTTTCCTTCACAAATTTACGGTAAGGGTCTTTCCATTATTGTCAATATTACAGCAAATGTCTACTATTAGTCATAACTGTCAATATTTTCAACTTCATACAATGAGATTTTGCCTAATGTCACTATGATTATAGATTAAGTTGTTCGCAAATTGCTTCATGCTCAAAGATATTTCACCTCAAACAATTTCCTTATAGACTTCCATTTGTGATGCTTCAGTCATATGTTGAGGCTTACCTTTCATTCATGTTATGATCAAGGCATGTTGCTTTTTTTTTTTTTTTTTTCATTCAGGGACAAAGAGACTTAGAGCATTGATATTTCACTTACTGCAATTTGAGAATCAGGTTCAAGTATCCTTTCTTTGTTGAATATTTTGGTTACTCCTTTACTAGAAAGTATCTATGGTGGTTTCTCAAATTTTATCATTGAAAAGTCTAGTGCTCTAATTAATTCTCTTTCTTGTCTAACTTCTGACCTGTCCCTTAACATTCTGTAATAAGCAAGGTTCATTACGTATAATTGCACCTTATTATTTGATTCAATTTTGGTAAGAACATGACACCAAAGGAATAGGCACATTATAACGATTAAAATCATGCTCGAAAGAAGATGAGAACCATCATCATTATAAGAGAGCTTGGTAAGAGTTTAGCACCAGATATTATTGATATTGATCCGCAAACCTATCCTCCACAAATAGCGAAGTAGACACGGATCGATGATGCATATACAAAAGAAAAGAAATAGGATATTGGAAAGACAATTGCAAAATAGTTCAACTTCCACAGGATTCCAACAAACACAGCCCAAGATTCATATTATCATAGCATGATCTCCTCTATTCAAAGGGATTCAACCTCTAATGCCGAAGGAGATGCACGACGTATATTTAGATAAGGAGGTGGCAGAACTGAAGGATTAGATCAAATTCTTCAAAAGACAATAGGATGAATATGGGGTGACAGTGATGTATGACAATTGGATAGGGCCAATAAGAATGAGTATCATCAATTTTCTTGTTTATTACAACAAACAGGTGGTTTTTAGTAATGCTTCCGATAAGATTCAAGAATCAAACTATATTGAAAACCTAATGGATACCATATTAGAGGAGATCGAACCGCGGTATATTGTCCAAAAAATCTCCGACAATGAAGCCAATTTCAGGAAGGTCGGTTTCCAATTGATCGAAAAAAAGGAAAACATTATTTTCGACTCCACGTGCAACTCATTGCATTATTTTGTATTCCACAATAGTTTTGAACTCTATAAAAATAAGCAAGCTTCATTGGAGATTCGAGAAGCAAGCATCTCCTCAACAACTACACAAAAGTTAATGCACAGCGAGGAAGAAAACCATATGCACCAAGAATCATGGAATACATAACAAATAAAGAATGCAGGTAGTGAACACAAAGCACAAACAAAAAATCAAGCACATTGGCCATAAAAATAGATTAAGATAGATAATACCAGACAGATAAACCATTAATTTCCAACATAAATATTTCATTCGACAGTACCACAATGCAACCAAAGATTACCCAATTTTATTTTATCAATCAAATGATGCATGGACAATAAGACGAGCCAAGATAGTAGGGACCGACATAGTCTAATACAAAATTTTCCCCAGCAAAAATGACTGCCATTGAGACACTTGGCATCCCTATACATGATAAAGGGTATGCTAGTCAAATTTGTTAGAAGAAATCCTACATCCTCCGATATGCCACATTGATAAAGAATCTAGCTAGATACTTGAATTGCTCAGGAACACATAACCTAAGACTTAATCCAAACCAAATAAGCAATCAGCAAATGAAAATATCTTTTGCAGTTACACAAGCATTAACAAAATCAATGACTTAATTATCTGGCAAAAAAAAGAGAATGCAAACACTTAACACACAAAAATCAGTAAACAAATGTATGTTATAATAAAAATTAGCAATTAACCGTTACAAAAACAATGATAAACAATCTGAATAGTGTTCAATTGCCTCAGTCCAATTTTAACATTTTAACAAGCGACAAGCTATCCTGAAAAATTTATATAGCAACAAAGTGAGTATACAAAGCTCAGTAAGCGACTAATATATCCATGACAAGATATGATAATTTTAAACAAACTTGGTATCAAAATACAAGGCAGGGATATAAGAATTCATAGATATTATCTCATTAGATACAGAATCATAAATGTCATTTCATTTAAAACATACATTATTCATAACAATGGAGTAAAGAGTATTTGGAGCATATCAATGACGTATGAAATATTTCGAAGTATATCAATGACGTATGAAATATTTCGAAGCATATCAATGACATATGAAATATTTCAAAGCATATCAATGGTGTATGAAATATTTCAGAGTATATCAATGACGTATAAAATATTTTGGAGTATATCAATGGCATGTGAAATATTTCGGAGCATATCGAAAGAACAAATAAGAAACATAAGCTCAAATGTCATATTTGACGTTGCATTCATTTCATTCTTATCCAAAACGCACGTAAAAAGTACATAACGCCTTAACAGTACCTGCATGCCCCATAATTTATGTAGAGAAAACTGTATCACCACAATCTAAAGTACTTCCATTAAAATCAATAGTAGAATATCATTAGGTTCATCCAAATATAATTTTTAATTTTTTTAAAATTGATATATTCAAATGTCACTATCTTCCGACTTTAAGTTACTGTCAGAGACTATCTTCCTGTTTTAATTCTCTGGCAGACACTATCCTCCTACTTTAAGTCCCTGGAAGAAACTATCTTCCTACTTGAAGTCTTTGGCAAACGTCGAATGGCAAGACAATATAGTCCACTAACAAGATAATTTGGTAGAATTAATAGTCAAAGTCCACTTTCTGGTATCATATAAACTCTAAACATTCTACAGCCAGATTCTTTGGTAGAATTAATCTATTTCCCTTTGCCAATTTGAGGATTAACCACGTCTTAGATTGAGTGTGTCTTGACCAACTCTAAGAGGTCACTAAACATAATCTGAAATCTTACGTAGTTGAAAGACCCAAGCAGCCTACAAGCAAAGTAACAATTTGGCACAAGATATCAAGGTTCGCAATACCATACCGTACCGGAGTTTCGACCTGGGCTCGGTACCGGTACGGTACGGTATACCGCTCGGTACACCCAGGTGTACCGAGCGGTATATTCAGCCGTGCCGAGCAATGCTACAGTACTGCTACAGTACCGGACCGATAACAGACGGTCCGCATACCGGAAGTCTGTCGGACCGATACTGCAAACCATGCAAGATATTAAAAATGTCACAAATCTTACTACAGTTTCCGTTCTTATTTTGCCACTTTGGATTTAGAAAAGATCATAAATTAACAAAGAAGACTCCAGCCAAATTACAGGGCTTAATCATAAATATAGGAGGAAGTGACTCCAAATAAAGACCATTAAAGCTGACAAAGTAAACATTAAGAACTTGCCATATAAAAGGCTGAGAAATGAATGTTATTATGTAAATATATTACCTTAATAATAAGGTGGCACATTTGGATATAAACCTTGTTGGGAAAAACATGTTAAAGCGAAATAATTCTTTCCCTCTTTGTGTATTAAAATAGGTTTCTCATCAAAATACCAACTTGATGTCCAAATAAAAATATCAGCACAATATAAACAATAGAACAAATAATCAATCACTAATAATAATAACAGATTTACAGTAGGTCTTCTCTAGAATAACTAGAGGATCAGAAATAGATTTTGGCTCAAGAATAGCATATCTTCGTCATAAAGGATGGATCTCCTCAAAAGAGAATTCTAGGTCTTACAAAGTGGATATCGCAGGAAAGTACCTTAGAGAGAGTAAACTGCATATCAACACCGTTAGAATTGTAGAGTTTGCTGCAAGGATTCTTCACATAAAATTTGGATCAAAACTGACAACGTTTGGCCACCGATCGTCAAGCAGAAAACTCAGAAACCTAATCTCTCTATTTCTCTCTCCTTTTTCCTCAGCACGGCACGCTGCATGCTGTAATCTGATTTATTTTTTCCTCACCTTCTCTCACCTCTTTTTAATTTCTTGTTGATTTGAACTCAATAGGCCCAATTGTCCAAGCCCACATATGGGCTGGACCCAACATACCAGAAATCCTCTGTCCAGGACTCACGGGATAACCACCTGAAGGCATCGGAGGCACGCAATACAGTGATGAGCCCGTGCCAAAACTTTCATACCCACCAACGCCAGGGCCACCAAACTGTGAAGAAGGTTCAACGGGACCACCCAAGCCTCCACCACATCCTCCAGCTGCAGCACCACCAAGCGACGAAGGAACCTGACTACCAACAGACCTGGATTGCCAGGACCCATTGACGATGGCAAGGAAGAGCCCAGACTGTGATGGTGTCTCAGTCCAATGGCACCAGGCAGCGCACCACCAGAGAAACCACCATGTGAGCTGAGACCACCATACTGGCTGGGCCACCATACTGGCTCGAGAGAGAACTCAGCAGCGAAGACTGAGCACCGAGTCTGAGCCCATTAGAACCCATATCAGCACCACCGCCCATTGGCATGCCCTAGACACTGCCCATAGGGACAGCACATGGTGCTGAGGCGCCTGGCTTCCCTTTCTTTCCCTCGATTGAAACACTACAGACCAAGTGGTGGCCATCGACGTTCTTGGTAGGGTCAACGAGTGAGTTCCTTGCCCCCTCTGCAGTATTGTAGGCAAAGAGAGGGAACCCCCGGAACTTCCCCGTCTGCTTATCAAACCCTAGCGGCCCCTCCTCGATCCCTTCATAAGAGGAGAAATGGGCGAGAAGGCGATCCGACGGCTGTCGGCAGGAACGTTCACGGCTGTCGGCATTTCCAGCGGCGGCAAGCTGGGTGACGGTCATTCGTCCGTCAGTCTTCTTGGAGGGCTCCTTCAGAGAACGAAGGGCACCATCGACGTGGCGGAAGGTGATGAACCCATAGCCCTTGCTCTTCCCAGTAGCCCTGTCGACGATGACGGCAGCCTCCTCGAACTCGCCATAGGCAGAAAAGAGGGAGCGGACGGAATCGGTGGTGGTCTCCGTCCCAAGGCGACGGACAGAAAAGAACTTTCGCTGGCTGTGGTCACGGTCGGCGATGGCCCGGACGTTGGCGACGACGCCGGGCTCGCCGCGGAAGACAGCATTGGCGACGATGTGGCGGAGCCGGTCGAGAGACCGGGACTCGATGATCCCTGCGGCAACCGCTCCTAAACGTAAGATCTCGAGCAATAGAAGGAAAGTTGAATTGGATTACGGTTATTTAGTAATAAGAGATGCTCTTAATACGAGAAATTATATTAATTATTTATGTTCGACCTGTTTATAAATAGAGAGGAGCTAAAAACTTATATCGGATTCAATAAATGCATCTCATCTCCTTTATTCTTCCCTTATTGGAAAAAAAGTGAAGAGCTTTCTCTTCGCTTATTTATGTTAGATCTTATTTTTAGTTTCCGTTCTATCGGTAAAAAGGATTATGAATCTTATCTATATTAATCTTTATAGAAAGCGAATTTAGTTATGCGCTTATAGCTCAAATAAAAAAAAAATTTGAATGACATAAAAAAATATAATTATCTATAATTTAAATATTAAATTTTTTTATAATAATAATATAATTATTAGTTTTATAAGATCATCATTTCACTGAGTTAGCTCAGTTCTCTCCACATATTGCTTTTAATGAAAGTATGACTCAGTTCTCTCCACATATTGCTTTTAATGAAAGTCAAAGAACTCGTCATTTTGAGAGGAAACTTTGATCATCAATTAGAAAGTCTGTTGCAGTATTGATTTTACCAACATATGCTGAAGTGTTAAATCGAGCTTTGGTTTCAATTTGCCCACCTAGCACAAAAATTGCAAAGATTGTAATTGGCAAACCCACCGTGAAATGCTTCTCCGGTTACATGAGATGACGTACATAGAAGAAAATAGAGACATTTATTGACGAGCATTTGAACACTTACGGTGAAACTGAACGCATGAAGAATTACTATCTCAAACACAACCATGTCAGATTTGTTAAGACTGGTCATGCAACACACGCCACAGACCGGACCTTTCCATTAGCCGGAAAGGCAGTCTTCATCCTTTTTTAATAGATTAGCTGAAACTACGTCGCACAACCACATTAGCATTACCAAAATAACCAGTACAGTTGTTCAGAGTTCATCAGATGACTGGGAGCAGCAACGTCTACAGAATTCAAAATGCAGTCCCTAAATGACAGATTGCCAGGCAGGGCGCCGTGCCATGGGCTTCTATTGCTGAACCTCTGGTGCATCTTTCGTTTCCTCTCCCTCAGCAGTTCCTTGAATGGTTGCCATGGCTATAGCCTCCCCTGGAGGAGGGTGATCAAACTTGCATGCAGCGCCAAACTTGCATGTGCCTGTCTTCATGTAAAAGGAACATATAACTGCACCCTGCAATGACATTGGCCTCATCAGCAATTTTACCTCAAAGCGTGGTAGTGCAACTGAATACTTGACTACAGCAGATTTGAGTACCCTTCCAATACAATCAAACTTTCAATTATTTGCCATGCTTAAGAACTCATAGCATAATGGATAAATTAAAATTGCTAAAATATTCTCCACAAAAACCAAAGATTTACTTACATATTTGAGGCTAATGCTTCTGTTAATAAAGAGCATTGAATTGGATGCTTGTCCAATAATGACGAGCAAAAATCTGAAGTGACACTAGGTATAGCCAAATGATGGTACCAGGAGTAAGAACAAGACAGATGGAAGTACAATAACACTCTATGTAAGAACATTAGCATGAAATTTTGGTACTAGGAGTATGTGATGTATATCTTGTGGGAATTTCAACAAAGACATGCAAGTGTAACCAAATCCAACAAATAAAATAACATGAAGTTTACTGACACATGTTTGTAAGTAAGGCAAGAATGCAACTATTTTGTTGGAATCTTAAGTGTAATCACAAATTTTCTTGTATTCAAATACAACATTAACTGACAACCGACATAGAAATTCCAGTGTTGAGAACATCGCTGCTCTCATTCATACACTTTCAGTTGCACTTAGCTCAGCACAAAGCTGGGTCAAAAAATGATGTGGGGCTAAACTGACTTAACTAAGTAAACTTAAGCAAGATTATTTAACCAAAGATCTAACCTAACAAGAGAAGGTTAAAATCAAGGAATTAAATCAGGTGGACCAATATGTACTGCCCACTACTTATTGAGCTAAACCGGCATATGGACCAAGGCCTACACAATTAGTTTAGGATTGACTGTAAGAAGTAATTTCATGAATTTAGTTTGGGGCACAGGGTGTTTTCCTCATCCAACATGGGACTAGATCTACTAGGATCAAGCCTTGAACTTTGTGAATCTAGGCTAGACCTGTGAAGTAATTTCATGAATTGAAGGAAGAGTTCATGGTGCCTTGTTTTCTTTGAGGAATTTGGAACCTAGATCCACAAAAATCAAGTTTAGATCTATACGAAATAATATTTCAGTCATGTCATCCAAGATGTGAATCATAACACAAGTGAATCCCACACGAAAGGATAAAGAAAAAGGAAAATCAGTTGATGACCATGTCGAGAAGAGACAAACAAATTTCATAATGATGTCAAGTCCGATAGGAATTCCTCGTATTCACAACCTTCTTACTAGCATAGATCTCATGCACAATAGTTTTTCTTGATGTTGGATGCATCATATGACAGTTCCAGTATAGTGATGACAGTTGCAGCTCTGGTATACCGCATCTTGCAGAGTTGTATTTACCACATTCATCCTTGCTTAAGATACCTCCTTCCACATAAGATGTTAATGATGATGATAACTCGATTGTCACTATATTATTACATCAGTGCACATTATCTACCAGTATCTGATGTCATGAGCACAATTCTGTGCACAGGTCCATCAGACCTACATACTTATGTACAATGAAGTCACATCAAGGATTCTGAACCACCTCTCGTTGACTCAAGATGATTAATTTGGTAGTAGTAATAGTTGTAATATAAAAAAATGATATCAAATTTTAGACCAAAAAACTCATGTTTACAACTATCGTATACATGTTTTCTTTAATACAGTTTGTATTCTATATCTGAAACATAACTTGATTAATCATTTATTGTTTTATAGTCGATTTCACCTATATTTTATAATTTTTGGCTTTAATAAGGTAGAAATCATTAAAAAAAATACTTGAGTTTTGTTTGCTCCAACTAGTCCAGACAAGCTGAACCTATGCCAACCAGTATATTGGAATACCATGTGCCTGACCATGTGTCGAATGTCCTATGTACCAAGACCATGTCAATCCCCAACATCAGGTAGGAAAGAATTAATCTACAACACATTGTTCTTGCAAAAATGGCTAAACCTAGCAAAAAGTAAGCAAGTGCATTGACCAAGTAACTTTGCATGGATTAAGCCAACCAAGTCTTCACCCAAAAATCAACCATAACCTTAATAAATCAAAAGCCGAATGGCATATTAGATAACGGCAAAAACCAATGGAAATTCCATATTAAATGTGTAACAATTTTTTCTAAATGAACAAGTATTTGACTAATCACTGAGGAAACTAAATTTTGCTGCAACAGATATGAACCAATCAACTTAATAAAGCAAACATAAATCAGTGGTTCCAACATAATACCTCTCTTCGTGGCAACCCAGCAAGAGTAAGCTTTACTGTTTGCTGAGGAGTCTGCTTCAATACTGAAGTTGGTGCTGACCGGTCAATAGGGTGGTGAAACTTGCATCTTTCTCCAAATTTGCACTGTCCAGTCTTCATATAGAACTGCATCCTCAAAAGCACATGAAAAGATCCTATGAGAAGACTACAATCATAAAGATGATTAAATAACCATGCAAGAGAGAATTGGATAGGAAATGGCAACACTTAGAGATCCTCACTATAAAATATAATGTCTAACCAGGAAAGACATAATTAGATAATCTTAAGCAACATCTGATTATTGATTACTTATGCCATCATAAACATAGGATATACGTATGATTAAATTACAATAAATCCTAGGGTCTGAAGCTAAATATGATATAGACACGACAAACAAACATATTATCTAGGAAAAAGAATCAAATCAATTGAAATGCCATTATTTCACTGAAAAAATTATCCAAATAAAAAAAGTACCATAGAGCTTAGGGACAAAAAAGTTGAGGACTGACAATATGCTACCTATGGAAATAGTAGCTACATCCAGCATTATTGCCAAAGCAGTAACTAATTTGAATGTCATATTAATGGGTAATTATGTGATCCCAAAGGATATAAACAATAACATACATCACATTCCAATTCCCCAGGCCTTTGAGGATAGATTGTTGGGATGACACTGATCTGCATTAGAAAAATTAGGAATCAACATATCTAACACAAATAAGGTTCCTCGTAAGACACCAATGGATGCATCATCAAACACTGGGATTTTTCATCTTACCGATGCTTGGGCTGACCGCAGATCAATATTCTGAAGAAAATTAGCAGCAGGATTTAGGCCACCAAATGAAAGATTGGCTGCTGCAGAAGGCAGAAAACTTTGTCCCAGACCAGCCACCAATGATGGATTAACTGTTTAAGAAAAGAGAAAAGAGAGAGAGAGAGAGAGAAGTTGCTATAGTATTTTTTTGGCTTCAATAAATCAGTATAATTGTCAATTACAATGCAAAATGTATATGATAAGTGTGAAAATAGCATACTGATTCTTTCAGGATGAGTGTAGCGACAAGTAGAACCATATTTGCAGCTGAGTGGCAAATAAATCATAAAGGCATAATCAGGCTTCAAAAGAAAACCAGAAAGTGAGACGAATAATTATAGTTCTACAGAAGTCCTGTACCTTCCAGTTTTGAGGTAAAATGGGCAATCTGGTTCACCCTACAATATGAGGCAAAATTAAATGCACAGGGATTTAAAATTAATGCATAGATTAAGAATCCAATTCCACTTGCTAGTAGAAAAGCACTCGAAATAAATGGCTACTTATCATAAAAATGGGCAGTCCCAGTGCACAGGACAAAGATCTAAAAAGCTATATAATAATAGATGCCATGGAGAAACTCAAAGTTCTGCTTTTTCAAGTTATACTGTTACCAGTGATTTAAAAAGCACCAGGCGTCAAAAGACGCCAAAGTCCAAAAACGCTTGAGGCGCTAGGCGCTCGCCCGAGCGAAGCGAGGCGCTAAAATATAAAAATATATAATATAATTAATAAATATAATTATTTAAATAAAAAAATACTATTAAATTAAAAAAATCAGGTACAAAATCATAATAAATAAATAAATCATAATAGTATTTTTATTTTTTAAATAAAAATATTACTAAATAAATAAAATTTAATAGTATTAAAATCAAAATAATATATTATTAATCTAATAAATAAAAATACTATTATTAGTATACTGTTAATATATAGTTAACAGTATAGTGAGAAGAGTGTGAGAAGACCGAGGCTGAGGCAACGGCAGCGGTAGCAGACAACCGTAGCTAGAGCGAGTGGGAGCGGCGAGCGACGACGACAACGAGAGTGACGAGCGATGACGAGAGTGGGAGCGACGAGCGACAGTGGGAGTGGCGACAGCAGCGGCAAACGATGACAGCAACGGCGAGCAACGATTGTGGTAGCAACAAGCAATCGGCGAGCAACGATTATGGCAACGGTGAGTAGCGTCAGTAACAGCGAGCAGCGATAGTAGCAGTGGCAGCAAAGAGCAACGACAGCGAAGAAGAAATCTCGATAACAAAATCGCGTGTGTTAGGGTTGGGGAAGTCGGGAAAATTACGAGAGGGAGCCTAATATCGGTGATTTAGTTGGTTCGATTGAACCAACTAAAGCACCGGAGACCAACCAGACCTAAAAATCTGGTTCGGTCACCTGGTTTAACCCAGGCGCTCGCCCGAAGCGCCCCGCGCCTAGGCTCGGGCGAGCGCCCAAGCGACGCCTCTTTGAAGCGCGTCGCCTGGAAATGAAGCGAGACGCTCGGGCCTCGCCTCGCCCGAGCGCCTATTGTAATCACTAACTGTTACTATTAAATATAACCATAAATTACTAAATAAATATGATACTTCAATTTTACCGGACGAATGGGCAATCCTTTTGAATTATGCATTAATGCAGGGGTGAAGGGAACATATGTCTTGCTATTCTGCCCTTGTGGTTCTAGCTGTCCATGCCTCACACTATCTTGTATGTTTGATAGTATTTGAAGATCCTTTGGATGATGAAACTTGCAGCTTGTGCCAAAACTGCATTTTCCAGTTTTCATGTAGAACTGTGGCATAAATTAATTTAGATTAAATATGACAATAAATAATCAAAGGAAATAATGCAATGTGCAAAGAAAAAATTACAGTGCAAACTGGCTCAGATGGCCTCTCAGGTAAGATTGAGATATCAGCAGTTTCAGAAACCTGCAGCTTCGCACAGAAATCATTGACGGAAAGGAGGGTGACAAGCCCGCTCATACAACACATAAACACAGATCAAATATATAAGTAAATAAAGTGGATGGCATCACTTACCTCTGCACCTAGTTCACCTGCAGAAGCATTTCCATTTTCCTTTGGATGGTTGAACTTACAACGAATTCCAAACTTACATTTCTGTGTCTTCATGTAGTACTGCAAATTAAAGAAAAAGAAAATACATGACAAAAGGGCTTCCAGTAACAAGCAAAGCAAACAAATATCATGAATACATCAGGAACTACTAACAGGACAATCAGGTTCTCCTGGTCTCTCTGGAAGAGATTCACTAGTGGGGATAAGTGGAATCTGCAGAAAAGCATAATCAGATAAAAAAAGAATTTCATAAATAATGTAATATCACTTGCACAGTCAATAGATGCCACGGTATACCCACAAAGAAATTTCTATTCATTTTACAGGAATTGTAAGCTCATGATTAAATAATTAAAAAGTTATAAAGTAATTAATTTTCCAAGCACCTAACAACATTGATGAACTGGCTTACTGTGAAAAACCAAAACCATTAGAAAATTTGAGGTAGATCATATGGCATCAGTATTGGTTAAGATGGGAAGAAGAGTAGAAATTTTGTTTGATCAATTACAGAGATCCATTTGATGTTAAAACAACTTAATTAACGCAAACTAGTAACTAATAATGGTCTATTTCAAAAGCAGTGCATCTATGATACAAAATTAAACAACATTCTGATCCACAATTCAATATCTCAGTTCCATTGGTTGAAACTTCCATAGAAACAACATCATTTCAAAGAAACAGAGACCAGATATATATTGCCATCAACTACTTCAAAAATATTAACATTTAATATATATTTCATAGTAAATTATTGTAGGCAACCCCAACTGATGTATAGCAAAAACAGCATATCGCATCATGCCTTTTAAATTCTTGGCATGTCATGATGTAACAATGGCAAGAAATTAATCCACTGATACAGGTCCAACTCTTAGGGGAAGAAAATACAGGATGTGAACCTCAAGCAAACAATGTGAATATATAATAGCTATGGATCTCAGTGGTTCAAAGAAAGACTAACTCAGTGCAGATATGATAAGTTCCCAAAAACAACCATTTTGTGAGAAAAAATAAATGTTAAAAAAAGTGTTCAAATTGTATATGCACATGACCAAGATAAATGTTCACAGAAAGATATACCCATTAACCATACTCTTAATCACAATTTGATGAACATGTTTTGTCGTAAAAAATTACCTTCACACATAAACAAACAACAAAAATTAAGTATACTTCTCTTTAGATAAGCACTACAAGGTAAAAATCATCTAGATTTACTTGTTAGTAATCATGTATCATGGATCAAGTGGTGGACTTCACAAGAAGCACAGAAATAACCCCAGTAACAAGCATCAAACTTTGACTTAATCTCACGGCTACTATTTGAATTTTGATGCACACAGTGAGAATAATGGCTAACAAAGAGGAAAGCTTCACCTTAAAATGAGTTTTTAAAAGAAAAATGATCTGACATCAGCACAAGTACAGATAAAAATCATATATATCTAGTTTTTGTGTTCTGCTGGTTTTACAAAGGGCATAACACCTTAAAATATGCATTCCTCGTTACTTTTCATCATCAATGAAACAAAATTTAGATGAAATTCGTGATAAATATATATTAACTAATTTCCAGATCAAACAAATCTCTTGGTGAGAACCAAGACTTCCGAGGAAAGATACATTCTGAAGAAGCTGAGTCAACTATTTGTCCTATCAAAAGGACTTTATTAATGGGTATGAAAATACTCACCTTATAGCACCAATAAATATCCAAAGAAGTTAATACTTTCCTGGTACAGAAGGCAGAATTTTTGTACAAATTACATGAGTTCTAGTTTATTAAAATAGAGAATTATACTTATCTTGTATTAAAATATTTAAAATATCAAATAAGTAGATAAATGACAATATAGTATAAGTAACCAAACTGTTCAACACGACTACACATATCCACATAAGGACAATATAGTATAAGTAACCAAATTGTTATACACATATCCACAGAAGAACATAGATTAAATAGGATGTAGGACATATCTACATACAAAAAGATCGTATATGTAGTTATTGCCTGCAAAAGTACGAATAAGATTAACCAAAAGTCACCTCTTTCCAATCCGGTATTCCACCCTCAGGAACCCAAAGAGGATGATCGAACTTGCAGGTATCACCATATTTACAGGTTCTTGTCATCATATAGTAAGCACAATCCTTTTCTCCTGGTCGCTGAGGATAGATTGGAAGATTGCTTCCGGTTTCAAGTCTAGGGCGTTTGATCAAAGAATTTGTAGAAAATAAGGCCTCAGTTTGCCCAATACTGTTATGACTTCCAAGAACTGTCTGATGGTAGAGTGCTATACGTAGATAAGATAACATCGTTATATATGGCATACTTTGTAAATATATGCTTATTGTAGAGTATTAAACATGGGAAAAACTCATATTACATACAACTAAATAATACAAACAATTAAATATAGAAGCTTTACAAAGGTAATGTGCATGCAAAAATATATAGGCCAACATACACAAATTCACTGAACTTATTGTATACTATATGATAGGAGAAAGTTTATCGTAACATAAAAATCTTACATTTAAACCAAAATATTAAATTTATATAAATGCATCTACATAATCAGTAACTTTTAACACTTAAGTATCAGTTAAATATCAAACAACCATAGTAGATAGATCATAGATGTAAGAAATACAAGTCAAATGCACCAAGCTGGAAAGTGGGAATTCTATGACATAATTCACCAAATAGATTCCAATTTCTCACTATAATTCCCAGGGGAGGCCTGTCTTCTTTTTTCAACTCAAAATGCAATGATGGACTTGAACAAATACCATATCTAACACAAATACATTCTATAAGGCAAAATTAAGAATGATACTACAACCTCATTAATCTCTCTTTAACTTCTTGGTGCAAAAGAATAAAAGTGGAAGAGAATATTTGTTATTTGTTTAGGACAAACTTCAAATAACTATCTATTAGTTGACCAATAACCACAGCACTTCACATATGTCATGATGACATGGCACTGTTCCACAATTTGAATAGGTCATTGTCCATAACAGTGATTTTAAAAGCACTAGGCATCAAAAGACGCCAAAGTCCCAAAATGCCCAAGGCATCGAGCACTTGCCCGAGCGAAATGAGGTGCTCCCAAATATTATAATTAAAATAATATGCAGCTAAATAGAAATATGCTAAACATGTTTATGAAGACCTATGCTAGAATTAAACTGCTCCAAAAGCATCTTGTTTAAAGAGGGGCCGCCTAGGCGCTTGCCCGAGCCCAAACGCCAAGCATTTCGAGAGAGCGCCCGGGTTAAATCAGGCAACAGAACCAGCATGTTAGCTCTGGTTTGGTTGCAATTACATTAGTTGGTTCAATCAAACCAACTAAAGCACCGATATCAACCTCTCTCCGCTGCCCCTCACGACTTCCCCGACCCTAACCCGACTCCCGCCACCGACATTTTCTTTCTGCTACCACTGTCGCTATCGCTATCACTACTCTCCATTGTCGCTGCTCTCCGCTCTGCCTCTCTCAACTGCCGCTACCGCTACCTTTGTCGCTACTCTCCGCTATCACCGCTCTCCGCTACCACTGTCGTTGTCAATGTCGCTACTCGTCGTTGCCACTATTACTGCTCATCATTGCTCTCAGCAGTGATTTAAAAAGCATTAGGCACCAAAAGGCGCCAAGGTGCAAAAACGCCTAAGGCGCTCGCTCGAACGAAACAAGACATTAAAATATAAAAATATATAAATTAATTAATTAATATAATTATTTAAATAAAAATATGATATTAAATTTTTAAAAAAATCTTATACAATCATAATATCACATTAACAAAAAAACTCAAATTTCAAAACAATAACAATAATTTCAAATAAATAAAAATTAGCAGTATTAAAATCAAAATAATATATTATTAATCTAATAAATAAAAAAATATTGTTACTAATATACAGTTAACAATATACTGTTAATATACCGTTCATAGTATACTATCGAGTCGATGTGAGTAGAGGGAGTAAGAGTAACAGTAGCAGCAATGGGAGCGGGAGCAACGATAGTGGCAAGCAGCGACAGCAGCAATAGTGGCAACGACAACGATAACGGTAGCAGCGAGCAGCAGCAGCGGTGTAAGAGTAAGACTGAGGCTGCTGACTGAGAGAAGCAGCAATGGTAGTAGGAGCAGGAGCGGGAGCGGCGATAGTGACAACAGCAACAGCGACGACGAGCAGCGATAGTGAGCAACGACGGCAGCGACAAGCAGTGGCAGTTGCAGTAGAGAGCAGCGACAACGAAGACAGGCAACGATAGCAAAGAGAGGCAGCGGTAGTAGAGAGGAAATGTCAGCGGCAGAATCGCGAGCAGGATTAGGGTTGGGGAAGTCGCGAGAGGGATGTTAGGAGGCTGATATCGATGCTTTAGTTGGTTCAATCGAACCAACTGAAGCACCGGAGACTAAACGAAACGTAAAACACTAGTTCGATCGCCTGGTTTAACCCGGGCACTCACCCGAAGCGCCCGACGCCTGGGCTCGGGCGAGCGCCTAAGCGGCGCCTCTTTGAAGCAAAGCGCTCGGGCCTCGCCTCGCCCGAGCGCCTAAGCGAGCGCCTATTGAAATCGCTAGCTCTCAGTCAGCAGCCTCGGTCTCTTCTCTTCTCACACTCGACTCAGTATACTGTTAACACTAACAGTATACTATTAACAGTATTTTTTTATTTATTATATTAATAATATATTATTTTAATTTTAATACTACTAAATTTATTTATTGTTTTAAATTTTGAGACTTTTGTTAATGTGATATTGTGACTTTATACTTAAGATTTTCTTAATTTTATATCATATTTTTATTTAAATAATTATATTTATTAATTATATTATATATTTTTTATATTTTAGCACCTCGTTTTGCTCGTGCGAGCGCCTTGGGCGTTTTGGAACCTTGGCATCATTTAGAGCCTAGCGTTTTTTAAATCATTGTGTTAATCACAACTAATAGTCAAACAAAGTTGGTCAATGTCGTAAGCTCACACAACAAAGAAAGGAAGCTACAGACGACGATGTATGGGGAGGAGGTTCGCGATCCTACGACATAGGGCGAAGGAGGCTCATGGTCTAACAGCGTAGGGCAAAGGAGGCTCGCGGTCCGATGACATAGGGAGGAAGAGGCTTGCGATCTAACGGTGTTAGGCAAAGGAGGCTTGCAACCGAATGGTGAAAAGTAGAGGAAACTTTCGATCTATCGACGTAGGGTGAAGGAAGCTCACGATTCGACGACGTAGGGCGGAGGAGGCTTGTTGTCCAGCAACGTAGAGAGGAGGTAGCTTGCAGTCTGGCAACACAAGGTGAAGAACTCTCACAATCCGACGACATAGGGTCTAAGCGACTCGCGATAGGGTTTATGATTCCTTACACTAGGTCAGGCATGCCGGGGAGGTAAGTGTTGTAATTAGTTGGTTCGATATTGAGCCAACTATGTGAAATTGGTTGAACCTGAACTCGATTTGATTGAGTGGGCGCCCGAGTTGCCCAACACCGAGGCCCAAGCGCACGCCCAAGTAGCGCCCCCTTCAAACGCCTCACTCGACCCTCCTATTACGAGGCGAGGCATTCAGGCTATTATCATATATCAAGGTTCGTAGCACTTAGTCCTCTTTAAGTTCTAGAATTTAATGACTTCAATCTTGCATTAAGCATTGGGGACTACTTGGCAAAAGAATTAGCATATTAAAAATATATATAGAAAATCTAGAGAGAAACAAAATCATTAGAAAAATGAAACAATGAAATTAAAAAAATAGAGATTGCTTGAAGTTATTATCAAAGCAAAAAAAAAAAAACACAATAGATAAGAGAGAACAAGATATAAAAAAAACATTATTAAGGATAGTCCAGCTATCATCATTTAAAGGAGATGTGAATGACCAAGAGAAAGGACAATGTAATGCAAATTATTGAACTAACCAAGTAGGTGTTTCCTTGACTAGATGGTCTAAGGTTCCACTAATTTTTTTATCATATTTATTTTCTCCCAATTAATTCCTTTTGTATCTATCTTTTTAAAGCCTGCATAAATGCCTCTTAACAGTCTGTCCAATGGCTTATTATCTATAGATTCATGATGTAACCATCAGCATATTTATTGTCACTATTCTTCTTCGAGATAGCATGAGCTTTTTACAGATTTGATCTGAGCATACCCTTACTCACCAAAGATATGCAACAAGAAGCTTAGATATATCAAAAAGTAGCAGCCATTAATGTATATTACTGCCAAAAGCAAACCTTCCATAAGCTAAGTTGGAATATCGACAGCAGCTGGGTCAGTTGAAAAACCAAACTTTAGTATTTTCCTGTTAAATTATCATGCAGTGTGTGATACACATCATATCATAAATCTTCTAGGATCTCATAGAAGTCAAATTAGACAATATAAGGTGCCAAAAAAAATTAACCAAAAAAAATAGACTTCTACTCTTCACTTTTTATAAGGTGCAATTATCATACATCCAACCTTTTTTTATAAGGTGCCACCTATACAAAAATAGACTGAACCAAAGGCACTCCTTAGATGATCATAATAGAATTTAAAAAATCAGCAAACTGTAGGAATGGTTTGTGTTCCTCAAAAAGGGCTTTGGAAAAGGAGGAGCTCAGAATGAAAATAACCAAAGCAACAGGCAGTTACAAAGATCTAGAGCATTTGTCAGAGTTTAAGCTAATTTAGTGAAGAAGCAGTGTTTTAAACCTTGAGATAGTCTCAACAACAAGGAAACTGACAAATTTCACTTGGAATTGAAAATGCACCATTCATATTTGAGTACATGTGGAATGGCAGATATTTTTAAATATTTAGTTTGACTAATAAAACATTAAAACTAAAGCCGAAAGGTCACCATTAACAGAGCATCATCATTGGTCATAAATTTTGCTGCTTAAAACTGAAGTATGTCAACTGATGCACAGCAAACAAGATACCATAAAAAGATCCAAGCTGCAAAATGTGCAGATGCCTTGCATAGTTTTTTTTATTTTTCCTGCTCCACACACACACACACACACACAGCTGCAAAATGTGCAGATGCCTTGCATAGTTTTTTTTTTATTTTTCCTGCTCTACATACATACATACATATATATATATATATATATAATATAGGAGACAAAGGTGAGACATGTGAACCAGGAGCTTTCCTTGGATATCAAATCCTTGACGTAAGGGAAAATACTCTGAGATAGCAAACCCTCTAGTTACTTGGATGGTGGTCCTTGCACAGCTTTTACATGTGAAAATTATACATGTATAATAAATTTCAGATATTTGTAGCATGTAACTTCTAGAGAAGTAACAACACAAAAGTTGCAATTTGTTCCTCAAAAGTACCTAAGAAGTAGTTCATCTTAAACATCAAAGGCCTAGTTGATGGACATTATTACTGTCTCATTGGTCCCTTTTCTAACTACTCACAATTAAAACTAGCAAACTTAATTTTACTTGAATCTTTCTGACTATCAAAAGCCATAGAATGGAATAGATGGATAATGTACAGCAGGATCACCATACAACTTACTTGGCTAATCAAAGATTTTGTACAACAGGATTTTTATACAACTTAATTGGCTAATCGCTATCATGCTCCCAAAGATGCTCCAAGAACTGCCTATTCTTCCCGTTCCATGGAAAAAAAATATTTCTCCAAACATCTAGAGCTTATTGTTTATCCAAAATTTCATGTATCTTTGAATCTTGACATAACAACCCAAATTCACAGTTCAGAAGATATGATTATCAAGCCATCTGAAACCTGTTACTCTCTCACATGTCCATAGTACTGAAATCATCTGGATGTATTGGCTCCTTTGATATGAAAATATCATCTAGATATGATATTCCTGACCACACTTCGTTGAGACTATGAAGTTAATATCTTCTTTTTTGTTTTAATAAGATCAAGGTTTATACTTAAGTGAAAATTTGTTGGTTTCACATCTACTTATATTTTCTCCACAATAATTGGAAAAACAGGATATTACCAGGCAGTCAGCCTCTAAATTTCATTTCTGCCTAAATTTCCAAAATGTGCTACCCTTTCACACCGTTGTATAATGTATAATTCTAACTGTCACGATCAATCACTTCCACTTGTCACTCGTCTAATGCACCACAAACTCTGTTTTGACCCATTTTAATTTTTTCTATAACCCCTTGGACACACATGCAACGGTCAGAGCTTTAAGTTTTATATTAGCTTTTCTAATAGATTTTCTTTCTGAGCTCATAAACAGCAACACGCTATCAGCCCAAAGCATTCACCAATTTAGGTTCATGTTCATGCAAGCACGACCTCTTGGAATCCACCATAGCCATATCTCGGGAATGAAAAAGCAGAACCCATAGACATCAAGCATCCTGCGATGAGCCTGATCTATTTGGAGAGCAGGTTAAAGTGACAGTCTGTGTTGCAGGTACAATCATGAAACGATGTAAAAAATACTTTCTAAGTAAGCAAATCAAATCAATGCTGGTTTTCGTATTAGTTATTCTAACGGAAGCTATGCTGGTATCAGGATACAGCGACATTGGAAACCTCATCAAACGTGAAATCAAGGAATCCCTAACCTTCCACGGAACGCTTGGGTCCACCGAGCAACGAAGGATCGAAGGCCGAGCTCCCGTACAGCGAGGGCGTCGACATGGCCACCGCGGCCGCCGTGTACCTACTCGAGGCCCCGATCACCTGCTTCGTGTAGGCCGAGGGCACACGGTCGGCGTACAAGGATTCCGTGTCGGAGTCGGCGAAGGGGTCGACGCTGGGCAGGCGCGGGGAGTCACGGTAGGAGTAGAGGGAGGAGGCGTCACGTCCGCCTCCTCCGTAGATGGTGCGGTAGTTGTAGATGTTGCTAGACATAGCGGACGAAGGGCCGAAGGTACGCGAGTTTTCGACTAGGGTTTCCGACTTCCCATTCCAGGAGGAGAGAAAGGGAGCGAAGGTGGGGTGTGGGAGGAGGGTGAGGGTCCGCAGAGATAGATGTGTTAGGTTTTAAATACTGGCAACTTCTGAACCCGACCCGTTAGCGAGGCCTGGTACACCCGGATCCAATAATTAAAAAAACCACCCCAACTATTAATGATGGATCCTTACTGTTATAAATAGGGAGGCAAAAGCAAAGGTTTGAAGTGTAGGTTTATACCAAAAAAAAAAAAAGAGTTTATATATAAATAAATATATATATATATATAAATTACTCTACTAAAATTCATATCTAAGTCATTAAAGGATTTTATTTATATTTTAATTTTTTTTCTTAATTTTAATCGGTTTGAAACCAAAGATTTCGATTTCGGTTCTATTTCAATTTTCAGGAACTGCAATTAAACCGCAAGAATCCGATCCCAGGTCGACTTAGAACCGTTGAACCATTGGTCCGGTTCGATTTTGATTCTTGAGTGTGATTTCTATTTGAATTCTCGAGTGGTTCATTTAAACTGATCGGTTTAGCTGGAGAAACAGCAAAACTAGCAGGCAACATAAGAAGGCCACTGCTTGATGTAGAGCATTTCAATTTGGTTTGCAGCAAGGTTCGCAATACCGTATCGTACCGATATTTCGACCTGGGCTCGGTACCGGTACAGTACGGTATACCGAGCGGTACACCCATGTGTATCGAGCGATACATCCAGGTGTGCCAAGTACTGTAGCACTGTACAGTGCTACAGTGCACTGCTACAGTGCACTCGGGATTAGTAACAGTCGGTCCGCGTACCGATAACCTGTCGGACCGGTACGTACCGCCCGTACCGGGCGGTACGGTTCGGTACGGCTGACCCTGGTTTGCAGAACTTCATGCCATCTACAGTTGCAGAATTACACATTTAACAAGCTGAATAAGAGCTCAGTTGAAACTTGATGCATTCTACAGCCTGCAGGAGTGCAAATGAATCTCCAATAATGACTTGAAATATACACTTTAACCAGATATTACAAGTATGATAAGAACATAAAATATACTTTTAGTCCACCCTATCTGGAAAGAAATCAAACAAGGATTACTCAATTATGGCCCTGCACAATCTGGAAAGCCAATGTTTTCAGCATAAGAAGAAAACAAACCATGTGAAGGACCAATAATTAGTGATAACCGATGTTAAGCACCAACGAAACACAATTATATATTTATCTTCCTGAAACATATGTACATAGATGCTGCTAGTAGGCTTACAGCAGACTTAAAATGCTAAGAAAGGCATTCTCGATATAAAGATCATGAAACCAAAGTCTTTTAGACGAATGCACAACATTTTCCAACCTATAAAGAAAGCGAGATTAAGTAAATCACTTTGAGTTCTAACTGGCTGAAGGAAATGTATGGTTGTCCCCTGCTAAAACCCTGGAGCGAGAACCATTCCTGCAGCTTATTCGTCAGAAACCATGGTTAATTCGACATGAACACCGTTGCCGTTGGAGTAGAGGTTCCTATCTGGCAGGCTCTTTACAGGCTTCTTCAAGTTCATGTTCCTGTTGGATTTCACAGGTGAGAAGCTGTTGCTAAAGATATGTCTTTTTGTTGGGTTGCTACAATGGCTGGGATTTTGCAGCAAAGTATCGAGTTGCCCACATGCAGCTCCAATGAGTCCTGCCAAATAATTAATATTGCTATGATCAAGAGATGCTAGACTCAACTTCATTCTCCTGACATGAATGTGGAATCAGAAGAAAGGCATGACAATAACATAAGTGAGATATTCATGGATAGTATTCTGAATTCAAACAACCATCAGAAAGCCTAAATGAACAAGAGATGCATACATTAGCACTCAGCCCTTCAGAAAGCTTCATATAAAAATGGAATTGTGATAACACAGCCAGTGCCACACAAAGCAATATCAATATAACACTTTCTCATATGGAGTAAACTATATGACTATAAACATCCACTGTAACCTTGTATAATGAACTTCAACAAAAACAAACAAGGAGGACATCCAAAGTTCATTACCAAGAAAAGCATATAATATTTCTACCAAAGGCGCATGATAAACATGCTCATCTGCTCGACGTACAATAAACAGGCATAATCATCGAGTCATCATCATGTTTGGAAGCAATAGCAGAAGATGATCAGAGAAAAATTCTCAATTGTACTGAAAAGCAATTGCAAATATACAATGGAGAGAATATATGAGCCTGCCTATCCCATTAGAAGTTAATCATAGCATCTAACACCAACAAGGCTGAAGTGCAGAGCCCAAGCGGTGTAATTGCCCTCTTATCATTCTCTATTCATTTCTCTGCCTTATCCTCAGGTGGTCGGTGACACAAAGGGGCACACGAGAACCACTGAATGGTCCTTTAGCATTCCTTCTTACTCACCCTTTAATCATGATTATTAGTAGCTAAGTTATATTTAAAAAATAAATGTATAATATATCCTTATTATTATTTCACCATTTATTTACTCAGATTCTTTCTTTTCTGTTCATTGCAATAGGCTTTGGTTTTCCTTTTTCTCTTCTTTTCACTGCATGCTACAATCTTAAAATCAGAAATAGATATTTTAATTTTGGAAAAGAAATGATCTTTTAACGCATACAACAACAAGCCATACGAAATTGATATTTTAATAATTACATTAATTATTGAAAGAGAGTTGAAGATTTGAAGCTGACAGGAAGGTCACAGAATGCCAAAGAACAACCAATCTAACAGAATATTAATGTCGATTCCAGCTTCAATGTAATTATAAATACTAGTAGTCAATTACAGCTATGAACCACAATGACATATTTAAGTCTTTGAGTTATGCAGGAATGCACATCCTAAATCTAAATTTAGATTTAGGATGTGCGTTCCTGCATAACTCAAAGACTTAAACATGCTATTGCGGTTTATAACTCAAAGCTTCAATATATATACACACACGTATTTCCCTTCAAAGTTAGTGATTTTCATTTTTGTATCTCTATATATATAGAGAGAGACACAAATATGAATATATATTTTGTGATTTCATATTAATATATATATATATATATATATATATATATATATATCAATATGCAATTTTGCCTAAGAATTATTGCACTTCAAATATAGTGGTTACAGAAACAAAATCATCTCTCCAATATGAGTAGAAGTGTCCAACTAATAGACCCATCAGCATTGTGCATGAAACTAAAAGTATTTGCTAACACAGACAGCATCTGAGTTCCAAATTCAGTATTTAGAGGAAAGTAAATGAGAATTGATGGGTTAGAAGCAATAAGTTGGCAATAGGGCAGAAAAATATTTTGAGAGTTGGTAATTTTTTCTCCTAAAAGGAAAGGAAAAATGATGAAACCATGGATTATGAAATCATTAATCTGAAAAGATGAGCAGGTCAATTATGTGTAGACTTGTTAAATGAAAATTAAAAAAGACATTCCAAGATATAGTGAAAGAACAAGGACCATTTCTAGGGTGAATTTAGACTAGAGGAAGTGCGGCATATGCTGCTACAGACAAATGGACATGTTTCTGAGTGAAGCATTACCTAAAAATAGGGCAGAGGGTTTTCCAGGTCTTGACTTGAACTCCGGATGAAATTGCACACCAATAAAATAAGGATGAGCATGGAACTCAACAATCTGCACCAGCTTATAAATATTTAAAAGAATTCAAATTTTTCACAAAATTCAGGTCTATGCCATCGTATGCATACCTCCATTCGTCTTTTGGTTTCATCTTTACCAACAAAAGAGAGACCAGCCTTTTCAAGTTCTGCAACCATTTCAGGGTTTACCTGTGGACATAATAATCCAGCATAAACAAATTTCCCAAAACTTATGTATCTATTTAAGCATCTCAAATTAGAACATTATACTGAAGTTCTCAATTTATATGTAAATAAACAGACCTCATATCGGTGTCGATGTCGTTCATCGATAAAGCTGACATTCCCATACCTAAAGAGAAAGTGAACTTCACTTAGATTTATGCTACATAAGGGCAATGCAGAAAAATGAGAATAGAAATGGGCATAAAATTTTAGAAGCATATTTGTCTGCTTACAACTTAGCAGATATACAGTCAGTAACCTCAAAAAAGGTCCTCCTTGATCCAAGATGCATTGTAGCTCCCTTATGAGTCTTAGAACCCTTTATTTGTCATAATAAGATATGTAAAGCTGCAGAAGATTCCTGATAGAAATAACAAAAATGATGGCCAAACTAATTACCTCTGGCATAAAAACAATACATGGATTTGTTGTATCAGGATCAAACTCTGTGCTATTTGCATCATGCAAGTTCAGAATAGAACGGGCAAATTCAATGACAGCAACTTGCATGCCAAGACAAATTCCAAGAAATGGAACATTGTTTTCACGGGCATATTTAGCAGCTAGAATTTTTCCTTCCACCCCTCTATCTCCAAAACCCCCTGGGACTAGTATGCCATCTGCACCCTGAGCTGAAGATAATTAGATAGCTACAAGCAAAAATGTATAACCTACTACTGTTGTTAAAACTTAAACCTACACCTAAAACCTTGAAAATGCAGATTGTCTCAAGAATCTAAGACCAACTATATAAATGAGAATTACACTCACCTTCAACCGTTTCCATGCTCCTCTAAAAAGATCAGGTGTCTGTAAATGAGATTAATCATATAGTCATCAGTTTCAAATGTGAACCAGCAACAAAGACTGAAGGATTTTGAAAAATAAACAGACTTCTATTGCCGCACTGTCTTCAAGGTCAGAAGATCGAACCCAATCCACCACAAGTTTCTTATAACAAGCAATAGAAGCATGCAGAAGAGCCTGCAAATATATTGATGATACAATCAGGTACAATTTATAAGTTGGAGAAGCACATATTTAATGAGATCAACTAATGGGAGGAACTTATCGAATCTTCCTTTTTAAATTCCAAAGAAAAACATGGGACAAAATATCAACCAAATTTTGCATCTTTATGAAACCATATTTTGTAAAAAGAGTTTAAAGCACTCACAATGACTGAACTTTTGTCTGATTAAATCATAGATTGCACATCAGAAATATGGATAAATCCTCTAAAAGAACTAAATAGCCTGAGCATGTTTGTGCTAATAGTTAGATTTTATGCTTAATGCCGAGCCTCTTCCTACATGCCAAAGCTTTTGGGAATAATGTTAACCCAACCATTATTATCACAGTACAAGAGCATGCCATTGATTGACCGGCACCCTCTTTTCCACCATTTGTCCTTTGCTCTTGCCCTGGATCAATGTGCAGTGACTTTTAATCTCACTTGGATCCTCATTACAAGTCCATTAATCCTTCATCCACCTAAATGTGATAGGTCTTAGAGCATGTATATAATGTTTGACTCTTTCCTGCTAGATGAATTACAGAGACCCAACTGTAATTTATTATCACTAATAATTAATCAAATCCGCGTTAGATCTTCTAAGCATTAAGAAAAGTAGTAGACACAACTGTCATGCTTTTAAACCATTTGAAGTATTAACAAAGAACCTTTCATTTTATGTTTCCTAATGGTGTGATAAAGGCCAAGAAGGAGCCCAATCAGGCGGAAAATACATTGTATGCCAGGTCAAGCTATACAATTACCATATTCTTCCTCATTTTGTGATACAATGCAAAATTGGGGAAATCCATTAAACTTAGATTGTGATTGATTATAAGTCCTAATACAACATGAGTATCCTATCATCTCCAGGCAACATGGATGAAGCTGAATACCAGCCAGGGATTGATTAATTTCCAGATATTATTTCCATATGTGTTTTGTGAATCCAATATCAATTGTTCTTTTGCTACATCATATAATGCATAATAAAAGCAACAAATACTTCCTAGTCAAGTACTTTCTTAGCTACAGTTTCCCCGAATAACATACTTGCATTCCTCAACCGATATTTCATCCTAGAAAAAAGTTTGTGGTCTTACCATTATGATAGACTGCGAAGTAGAAATGTTTCTGAATACAGGACGAAGACAACATACATATTCTAGAGATAGTGGCATATGCATTTTATCTGAACTCAATGTGCTTTAATGTGAAACTATGTACATGTAGAATCCATGAAGAGTTATGTCAACATTTAGAAAAGTTTACTGTCACCAGGCATCTAAAGTACATAAATATACTAATCGCATGATCATCTCTTTGTTGAATCAACTATTGCAACCAATAGTTGCAATAGATAGACCATAGAAGTGGAGATAAATTAAGAACTATCTATTTATCATGTCCAGCTAATGGCAACAACTAAATAATTCAAATTAAATGATCAATGCAAAACTTTCCAGCAAATACCAGAGTTCAGAATTTAGGAACATGGATATATATCATTGAATAAACATGTATTCACCTCCAATACTGAGAGATAAGAATCAGACTGGCCAGTATACTTTCCAACCATCACAATCCTAACCTGAAAATAACAAAATGGGTCAAACTGCAAACAGAAAATAACCAAGGCACCTAACTTAGGAGTAAAAGAGAAAGGGGAGAGAGAGAGAGAGAAAGAGAGAGAGAGAGAGAGAGAGATAGAGAGAGAGAGAGCTCACAGGATCATGCAAGGTGTCATAAATTCTGGCTCTACTTGTCCATTCTTCCAATGCAAGTTCCTTAGCAATCCTATGCAAATAAAAAGTGAATATTTATATCATGCCTATCTATATTTAGATATCATTAAGCAGAGATCAAGATGATGAACTATCAAAATTATTGCAATAGAAGGACAAGTTAATCAGACCAACCCTTGAAGATTCAATAGCTTTATAATAGTCTCATGTGCCTTTTGCTCCTACAGGGACAAAAGTAATGTTTAAATGTACAGGAGTACATATTTCAAAAATATAATAACATCCACAATCTTATTAGAAACAATAGACTCTACCCCCAACAATAAAGGAATGTGCCAAATATTTGTAACATCATTGAGAGTAATGATATCTGCCACCTGCAAAAACAATTTATTGATCAAGTAGCATTCGGGGTAAACATATATTCATTTATTGCAAAAAGGTTAAGGAGAAATAATTAGAACTTAAGAAGAATACCGGGACATGGCAAAATCTTGAAAGTTTCTCTTTTATGTTTTCATCCAGTGCCTAACAAAAGCATAAGAATTGGAACTATCATAGGCTAAAGTAAAATGATAACTAAAGAAACTTAAAAGGAGATGGTGGATGGAGAAAAAAAATTGAGTGGAAACCTTAGTGCTCTGGCAGGCTAGAATGTCAGGTGCCAACCCAAGTCCTCTTAGGCCCCAAACACTATGTTGTGTTGGCTTAGTTTTCTACAAAGTTTTTTAAACCAAATTATTATCAAATTGAAAGACCACACTGAACATATAGACTGCAAGATGAACTGTTGCACAATTTTGTGTATGGAGTATGTATACTATGCTACACCCCTAACCTGCTCACCGACTTCATTTAGAACAGGAACAAGACTGACATGGACCACACAAAAGTTATCAGGACCTGTAAGAAGATTGATTTGGAGAAACACTCGTGTAAAAATGACTGAGATGATAAGTTGATTGTAAGAGATAGTTGACTCTAAGCAGGTCTCCTCACCTACACGGTAAGAGAACTGACCCAAAGCTTCTATAAATGGCATAGATTCTATATCTCCTGCATCAAGAATTCCACTGTCGTTATGCCGTGAAAAGATCGTGGTCCCTGCACCGCATACTTACACCACTATGGGTAACATCATGAAAAATCATAATTATCCATAAATAAATTGCCAAGTTTCTGGCTGATATATATAAATATTATATATATATATATATATAATATCTCATCTTTGTATGAGGAAAATCAAACAAGATGATATACCTATGGTTCCACCCAATTCTATTATACAAACATCAGGAGGCCCTTCTTCCCCATCCACGGGTATCATAGCTGCACGTTCTATCCACTCTTGTATGGCATCTGTCATGTGCGGCATGACCTTGGTACAACAAACATTGAGAGAAGTTCAGGACTACTAGGATAATAACCAAATTATGATCCAAACAGATCAGATGATTTTTAAGAGAAAAGCTGCAGGCAGGACTCATACCTGGACTGTCTTCCCCAGATAGTCTCCCCTTCTCTCCTTGTCAATGACAAACTATCACAAAACAATAAGAAAATAATGGTAAGTTCATAGAGTAAAGATAGACAATGTTTGCAAAAGAAAATTCAAAGATGAATGTAAAAGTACAAAATATAGTTGTATCATACATGTCAAAGTAGTTCATAAATACAGTATAGTTAGACCTGTTAATAGGGAAGGCATGAATAAATTTGGTACCTGATAGATCTTTCCAGTTGTGATGCTATTGTCACAAGTTAACTTGACATCAAGAAACCTTTCATAGTTTCCAAGAACGAAGTCCACCTGCAAAAATAAATCTTCAGCCAAAGCGAAACAAAGAAGAAAAAGAATTATTTCTAGAATAAAAATCAATAAGATATAACAGTTGAAATAGAAGGCATGTGGGACAAAGATAGTAGGCACAAAAAAGTAGCAAGAACTATTACTTACCTCACCGCCATCATCTAAGACAAACACTTCGCCATGCTCAAACGGGGACATTGTCCCAGCGTCAGTATTTAGATAAGGATCTGCAAAGAATACCACGAATGGAAGGTAAGTCATCCTTGGCAAAACAAAAGCAACAAAGTGACATTGTGAACCACACAACTGAGACTCTACTATTAACACAGACTTCAAACACAATAACTTCAGAGCACCATTTAATTTTATTTGTCTGTGAAAGAAATTGAAGGGGAAGGGTGATTGTTTTGCTAATTGTTCCCTTTTGCCATCACTTATGAATCTGTTTTGACTGAATCCTCAGCCTTCTAGATTGCTTAAACAAGAATTAGAAATAAATGAATAAATGCAAGGTTCGCCGTACTGTACCATACCGGCGTTTCGACCCGGGCTCGGTACGGTACGGTACCGGTGTACCGGGCGATACATCAGGGCATACCGAGTGGTAAACCCTGGTGTACCGAACAATTTAATATCTTTTTCATACTGTAGCAGCGCTACAGTATAGTACTGTAGCACTAAAACGGTACCGGATGGTCCGCGTACCGGTAACTTGTTGGACCGGTACGTACCGCCCGGTATGGCAGACCTTGAATAAATGCTTGTTTCAATATGAATTAAGTGTTCCCAGTTTTAGTTATTGAAGATAAATGCTATATAAGTTTCAAGGTTGTTGTTATTCTCATCTTAATGACTGAAAATCTGCATGATATCTCCCAAATTAAAAGGCTACAGAACTACAGCAGAGTTGAAAAAAACTTAAAGATCCCAAAGCAAACGGCAAGGAAAATAAAATCCAGGTTGACAAAGAACTGAAGAACAACTGTTGCCGAAACAAAAATAAACAAGCTGCCCTATTTCACAAGTCATATTGTGAACCAGCGGCCCTAAAGATAGACAACGCAATTACCATGCTAAAAATGATACCATGTTGGCATGATTGTTCCTCTTGTAAATGAAAAGCTAGAGATGATGGTTTGCCAAAGTGAGAACAGATTACTCTCCCTGGAAACCAGTGATGAAAAGATTGTTCCTTCTCCAACGAGAGACCAGACCGACCATCTCTGAGTGAAACATCCGCAAGAAAAGAGGCAAAACAAACGGCAATTTTAATCGGTAAAAGGGAAAGCTGACGCCCCAAACAAGCCTCATTTCCGAGACAAGAAACTTCTCGTATCACTTGGAACAGAGGCATCAAAGAGAGGAGAAAAGTACCAATCTTTATCGCCGTCAGTCGGAGCCCGCATGCCTTGAGGAGGACTCCAATGCTGCTCGCCGTCACCCCTTTCCCCAGTCCACTGACCACTCCCCCCGTCACCAACACGTACTTCATCTCTCTCACATACACACACCCACAATGAAGAAAACGACTAGTAAAGAAGCTCACTCGAATTGAAAAGCGAAAATTAGCAAGCGGAACAATTTCCTCTCTCTCTCTCTCGTTACGGCGAAGAAGTGTGGGATGAGAAGAAGCAGAGAAGGTCAATATATACTTTCTTCCAAGCTTTAGCTGAAAGTTACATTTTTTTCATTGCCACTAAAATGTAAATGTGACATTTTTTTCCACATTCTTTTTCCTTCCCTCTCATAAACCCAAAAATTAATCGTCTAAAAAGAAATCCAAAAAAATAACGCATCGCAACCGATGCCGTCCTCAAAAGAACATCATGCTCGGTCTGCTTCTCTACCATTTTAATGAGAGCTTTACGTCGACCCAGCTTTGTCGTCCTCCGACTTACACGATCAGGACGTATCCGCTTTGCTCGAGGATGTCCTTCGCCATCTACGCAAGCATGCCACACCTGGATTCCAATTGTACTCTGCTGGTCTTAAGTATTGGTCAAAAGAGTTAAACTAAATTATCTGCTTACGATCAGATTACATCATCTCAGGAAGGTTGTAGCTGCCGGGAAAAAGCAGCAGTCCAGCGAAGGCTTAAACACCAAACACGTTATGCTGCATCGCAACAAACAACACCTGCATCACGTATCAATTTCGGCGCCATTAGCGCCGAAAGGGTTCAGATCCAAAGATCCTCCTGTGCAAAACACCGTCGAGTTGAGACAAGGACAAGCGATCTATGAACCACGCTGCTCCTGCGTTTTTTCATTCATCACGACAACGATTTCAACATCCATCATACGTCCACCTGTTAACTGTGTGCTATGGCTATGTGCTACTTGTAGTGAAAGTTTCTTAGTAGTAATTTACAGTGTTTCTTGCTACGTGCTACATTATCGAGCGTAGACAAGAGAGAATTGGCCATTTACGCCGGCCAGAAGACATCGCATCTGCCCCTTTCAGATTCGATATCACGTCAAGCTAATTCAACACGGCAAAATAAGACCGGCGTTTAGACTTTGTAGCCGATTTGAGGGAGAAAAGAGGAAGATTGAAGTGTTTGGTCACCAGATTTGACCACACGGCACGAAATTAGGCCACATTAGCACTTTATTTAGCAGTTCGTCAACTAAAACTATCATTAACGAACGAATCTATTATAGTTCGTCAACTGGAAGAAGCTTTGCAGATCTGCTATCATGATCGAGGCAGAGGACACGATTTTCCCCAGCAATTTGAATAGTTGATGACGTCGTGTTAGCTCCATGACGTCAGTACGAGCATGTGGGAGGCAAAGGAGAACCTGGTTCTTGCCTGGTTCGAAACAGGAAAGCCTCGCTAGTCCAAGGGAGGATCCGGAAAGGGCCCTTGCGTATCACACCCACGTTATCACCGTACACGAGGGTGGCGGTGATGGTCAGCGGTAGTGCTCCGTCATTTCCTTGTCAGCTGGGGCCCGGTCGAGTCGACGGTGACGATGATAAGGTACGGGCGGAGTCGGCGGTATCGCGGTCCACGTTTCCCGGCTACGGGCGTTCGCCCGTCAAAACTGCCACGTCAAGGGGACGTGTATATTCCCACGTGGCCTTCGTATGGCTGGGTAAATGGGACCCACGCGGGGAGGACATCCTGCGACTGGCCCAAAGCAGATACTAACGAAACGTAGACCCAAGTCCTTGTGATGGGGCCCTTTTCTATCTCCAATAACAAAGCAGGTAGATTGGACGATTAACGTATTCATGGTAAGCATGTACGATAGGAACGGGAATCAGGATCTCCTTGCTGATTCCGAATTATGTCATGATCACATAATAAACTATTTGTCTGGTAATGATATATCTCGCTCACATATGATAGGTTAAGGGTTCCAAAGATAACAATAGATTATCCATAAATTTTATTCTTATATGATAAGAGTATTCATTTCAGATATCTATTTTTATTTTCATACCTATAGCAGCTTATCGAAGAGTACCTAAATTTGGATTAAGCGAGTAAAGTGGGTAATAGTGTAAGAAAAGACTCGATTTGTTGTCACCTTCATATTTGAATCTTAATCTCTAATCTTCGCCACATGTTTGTTCTAATGTATCTAATGACACAAGCCTTGTCTTCATAGGCATCTCGAGAGCTGTTGACCCCATAAGATCGAGAGCGAATACTACAATTTCCATTTCAAGCAGTGGCGACCGCTTCCGGAATGATTCCAAGACCCAATGTATGCATACAGTTCCTTGCTGTCTTCCCACCTGCTGCTCCCCTCCTTATTTGTTCACTCAACATCTTTCACATCATATATCAAAACTGGTGTTGGCTCCCAGTTCAGGAGTAGAACAAAAAGAGAACGAAGCATACGTTTCAGGTGGGTTTACTCATTGGGAAATATAAGTCTTTACCTTATGATATAAAAATAATAATAAATTTTTATATACGAACAAATATTAGTAGATCATAACACATAATAAAATTAAATAAAAATCATAATAAAATAGAATAATAAGATTTACGTAAAAAATTCCTCCAACGTAAAGAATAAAAACTATAAGACAAACTAGAGATAATCCACTATAATAATAATAAATATACAAATCTCAGTCTTTTACCAAAATCTAAACAATAATATCAAGAGAATAAGGATTACATCACTGTGCATAATATCCAAATTCTTCCTAAATAATCATAGTAAAAATCTAATGTAGATCAGATCTAACATGAGAATATTGCCTGAATGATTAACAATAGTCTCTCTATGTTATCCTTATCTTCTTCTTTTTTCTTCTTTTGTTTTTCTATCATTTTCTACTTTTTTTGAATCAAGTTGCTGCTGTAATTTTCTAATTTTCTATCTCGTTGCTGTAGTTTTTCTCCCTATTTTCGTAGCCATCATACCCCCCTTATTAGATCTAGTGTTCAATTAAAGAGAGGTGGGCTATGGGCTATTAAAGCCCACAGTGAGCTAAATTTGTGGACTGTCAGCCCAATAACGTCCCCCTTCAGCCCATAAGGGAGGTTGTCCCATGACCCCTCAATGTGAAGCCATGCGGATCAACTGTCGGCATATCTCATATCTTTCTTTTGATAAGGTCTTTGTCAACATGTTTGCTGCGTTGTCATCTATGTGAATTTGTTGAAGTTGCAATTGCTTCTCTTCAAGTTCATTTCGAATCCAGTAGTATCTGACATCTATATGCTTTGACTTAGAATAGAAAGTTAGGTTCTTATACAAATAGATGCCACTCTTGTTGTTACAATTCATCACATAATTTTTCTATTTCAGCTCCAATTCTTATAAGAATTCTTTCATCCATAATATTTCTTTGTAACCTCTATAACAACAATATATTTTGCCTTTGTGGTAGAGAGAGCAATACACCTTAACAATCTGGATTACTATGATACAGCTCCCCCAGCAAAAGTAAGTACAAAACTTGATGTAGACTTTCTCGTATCAATATCTCTTGTCATATCTGCATTTGTGTAACTTATCAACACAAGCGGTCCACTTCTAAAGCTTAAACAAACCTTAAAGCTCCTTCTGAGATATTTAAAGATCCACTTCACTGCTACCTAGTACTCTTTACTTGGATTTGTAAGAAATCTATTAGTAACACCCACTGCATATGTGATGTCTGGCCTCGTACATACCATTGCATACATTAAACTTTCAACTACTGAAGCATAAGGAATCTTTTACATTTTTTCCTTCTCCTCATTACTTGACGGAGTTTATTCTGAGCACAACTTGAAGTGACCTACAAGAGGAGAACCAACTAACTTTGTATTGCTCATATTGAACCTTTCTGATACCTTCTCAATGTATTTCTCCTGTGATAACCAAATCTTCTTGGTTTTTTTGTCACCGAAAACTGCATGCCTAATATTTGCTTTGCTGGCCCCATATCCTTTATTACAAAAGACTCACTCAGTTTCTTCTTCAACTTGTCAATTATAGACATATCTTTCCCAAGAATAAGTATGTTATCAACATAAAGTAAGAGAATAATAAATTCCTCACTAAACCGTTTGATGTATACACAATGATCTGAAGCTATTCTTTTATATCCATTTTCAATCATAAATGAATCAAACTTTCTGTACCACTATTTTGGAGCTTGCTTCAACCCATACAAGCTCTTCCTCAACTTGTAGACAAAGTTCTCTTTACCTTTGACTTTGAAGCTTTCTGGTTGCTCCATATAAATTTTCTCCTCCAAATCCCTATAAAGGAAAGCTGTCTTCACATCTAACTGTTCAACCTCCAAGTCTTGGCTAGTAGCAATACCAAGAGCAACACGAATAGAAGAGCAATGTTCTAGTTTTTCATTCATGGTAAATAAGTCATTCTTTGTATTTTTCAAAGTATGCAATTCTAGTGATTTTTGAACTAACTCATTTTTAAGTTCAAAGCTAGATGATTCTAAATCTTTACATTTTGTGTAAGAAGTTGGAAGATGTTGATCATATAGTTGTTATACTTATTTTTCAATGTATCAAATTTATTAACGAGTGAAACATGATCCCTTTTTAGTAAATTTATCAATCTTTTTAAGTTAATCATATAAATCATAAAATACTTCAAGTAATTCTTGATGTAATAAAGAAGTTTTGGAAGAGTCAAATATGTCATCATTGAAAGTTATTAAGGTATAATTTGCTATTTCTTCTTCATTAATTTGCTATTCTACTTTTGACTCACTTGATTTATCCCATGTTGCTTTGAGTACTTTCTTCTTTTTTTGGATTATCTTTTTTTTTAAATTGTGGACACTCTTTATCGAATTATCTCAATTTTTTGCACTCATAACATATGATTGCATCTTTCTTAGACTCACTTTTATCCTTACCTTCTCATCTTATAATATTTGTCTTGTTTCTTCTCGTGAACTTATTCAAGTTTTTTTAAGAAGTGTCACGTCTTTATCGTTATCAATTGAGCTTTTGCTCAAATAATCTTTTTTGGATTTGAGAGCAATATCCTTTTTATAAAAAAGATTTTTATCCTCTAAATCATGTGTTTTGCATATTATACCATAGGTCATTAAAAGATCCTATGAGTTCTTCAAGAGAAATATTGTTCAAATTTTTAGCTTCTTGGATTGTTATTACCTTTGGGTCTTAACTTTTAGGAGGAGACCTTAAGATCTTACTCACTAATTCAAGATTAATATAAGTTTTATCAAGAGTTTTTAATTCATTATCAACATCCATAAAATGGGTATACATGTCATCAATAGATTTACTTGGTTTCATTTTAAAATGATTCATAACTATGATCTAAAAGATTAATTTTAGATTTTTTTTACTCTACTTGTGCCTTTATGAGTAACTTCAAGTGTGTGTCATATATCATATGCTAAGTCACAAGAAGAAACTCGATTAAACTTATTTTTATCTAAAATATAAAATAAAGCATTTATAGCTTTAACATTTAAAGAAAAATATTTTTTTTTTCAAAATCATTCCATTCTTCTATCGGTTTGAAAGATTTTTTGAAACTAAACACAACAACATTCCATAAATCAAAATCCATATAAAGTAAGAAAATCCTCATTTGTATTTTTCAACATGCGTATTACATCCCATTGAACATGGGAGGATGTGTGATAGAGTGACCATCTTAATTACTTAAAAAGATCATTTATTCTCTCTTCGATATTTATCCAAATGAGAGAACTTTACTATGATACTATTTGTTAAGATTTTAAAGGCACTAAAGGGGGGTGGGGGGTGAATTAGTGTAATAACCTTTTTAATCAATTTTAAAACTTGATCCATAAATCAATATATATCAGAAACTCGATTGATCAAGTTAAAGTTGTAAGTAAAGAGAATGAAACTAAATTATAAGTAAAGTATAAATAAAGAGAGGCAACCAATTTATAATGGTTCGGTCTTCTTGACATATATATACTCTCAATTCCTCTTCCCTTAACGTTATTGGCTTTCACTATCGATTTTCTTTCCAATAGGCAAAGATTAATTACCTTTGTTATAACTTTATCTTTTTTAAGATTGAGGAGATAATCTTCATACTCTTTTTACACACAATCTCTCACTTCCTACAACTTAGAATTATAACTAACTCAAGAGGAGGAGACTCAAACTATGCTCAAAATGAGAGTTTATAATACCTTTTTCTTAAGAATAGATACTTCATCAACCAAGGCTGAGTGAGATATTTATGCCCTAAAAGGCTTCAAGAATAAAATCAAAAATTTAAATCTTTGAAATTTTAGAGTACTAATAATACTACCACCGGCACTCACCATAACAAGGCCACAAATCTTATTGGGAAATATTTAAGAGTATCATATGCATAGCAAAAAATAAAAACAAAAAATCATTTCCCAAAAGGAAGACATCGGATCGTTGTGTAATAACCGAGAGCATAAAACTCAAAATGATAAAAATTATGTGAAGTGGTTGAGACGTTCTCACCTAGCAGAGATCATATATCCTATAAATCATAAATCTAAGTTTGTAGATGAAGGAGCTCTCGCAAACTTCTCTCTAGTAGTGATCTACATAGTAGATACAATAATGATGCACCTCATTGCGTAGTGAGTTCTCTCCTCGTGATCGCGCACCGCCATGCAATAGTAGACAAGAAAGGGAGCAACCCTCTTGCTATCCTCTCACACTAAGGAGTGGTTCATGGCTTGAGGGGAGATGGAGAAGAAGAGATAGGAGGCTGGCGGCTATATGGTCTAGCTTATAATTCATGAAGCCCCAACTCTTATTTATAGAGGGCTCCTGCTGTTAACTCTAATGGATATTGGATTCTCATCCAATAACCATCCTAAGTTTTATTGGGCCTTACCCAATGGATCCATTAAAATAGGGACTTATTAGATATCTCATATCAAATTCTTTATTTGTCGCGTTGTCCACCATATGTGTGTGACTCTCTAGGTTCAATATTGAAATAACCATGAGTTGCACCTGTCAAAACTCTTTCTGATTCAGTGAATTATTATCCTCATAATAATCCTCATACGCTAGTGAAGTATTAACGTACTAGGCCACTAAGCCATAGTCCCCAAATAGTACAACGAGATCTAATCCATTGAACTTATTTGTCCTTAGTTACCGTATATTTATAGTCCTTCATCCATTTAATATCCTAGAGACTATATACCGGGTATGGTACTATCAAGTCCATACAAAATCCATTCGAGTCTCATTCTTATCGGATTCTCTCGGAGAACTTATTCTCTCTCAATTCGAGTGACCATAGTTAGGGATTTTCTTGAGTGAGAATATATAAGATATTTCTCTCATGATACTAAGAGTGGATGATTCTTTATTAACACTCAATTACTCTCAAAAATATATTTAGTCTAATAAATTCATCGTTAGGTTTATCATCAAAATTCTATACTTAATAATAATATCATATATCCACGTTGAGTACTTATGAGATCACATTTATTTATAGATGATAACATAGATATTTCAATAACGAAGATAAGTTTCTTTGATATTTTAACAAGGTAAATTTTACAAACCTCGCTCATAAGATTGTAATGCATTGCATGTCATCATCGTATAAGAAAATCCCTATACGATATGGAATGGAAGCTTCAAACTTTAAATAATTTTGACAATACGTAATTATCGCTTATAAGTCTTTAATGATTCCCGAGTCTTTAGATATTGCATAAGGTAGGAATAAACTATGAACAATGTTCACATGTCAAAGGCCACAAGTCGTCCATGACAATTTGCTGATAGATAGCGCATACTGCATCATCGGGAATTGATGATAAAAGAATTTGTACGTAATCTCAATAAAAACATATACTTTAATCGAAATTTTTTTATATTAAAAAATAGTTGCCTCTCTGTTATTAAAAAAATTATTTCATTCCTTTTTATATTAAGAAATAAATAAAAATCAAATTTGATATTATTTTGAAATAAATAAAAATAAATAGTTGCCTCTCCCGCAAGTTTAGACTGTTTGTTACGGAGATGACGACGAGGGCGGGCGGCCAATCCACGGAATCAAACCATAACTGCCCCCAATCAGAGCTAATGTTATCGTGACACGGCCATTGCCTAAACAAAGTGACCCCCCAAGACAAAAAGACTAATGGGCCAACTCGAGATATTTACCCATTTGAATTCGAGGAAGCCACGTCCTCCCTCCGCTTCGCTCTCCACTCTTTCTACTTCTACGTCGAGGCCGAGATCCGGAGATGGATCGCGAGCGACGTGGATCTCCCACCGAGCCCTTCTTCTTCTTCTTCTTCTTCTTCGATCCAAGGTCCGAGGCTGTGATTTCAAAACATCAGATCTGGCGTTCTTTTCCTTTGTTAGAGATCGAGGTTAGGTCGGTGCAAGGAAGAGACGGTGAAAGATGCTTCGGCTGCGGGCGTTTCGCCAGACCAACGGCAAGATCGTCAAGATCCAGCTTCACCCCACCTATCCCTGGCTTGTCACCGCCGACAACTCCGACCACGTCTCCGTCTGGAATTGGGAGCACCGCCAGGTCCGAGAATCTCATTCTTGCATGTTCCACTCTGTTTCTTCTTTAGGGTTACATTGGTTTTCACGACATCTTTGATCTGGTTCTTGATAGGTGATATATGAGCTGAAGGCCGGCGGCGTCGATGAGCGGCGCTTGGTTGGGACGAAGCTGGAGAAGCTCGCCGAAGGAGAAACTGGTACGCGAGTTGATTTCGTACGTTTCTCGTCTTAGTTTGGTTTTCTGTTGATGCTTGAAGATTACCAATTGGCTTAACGATGAGAATACGGGACTTGTCTTTTTCTCGAGTCTTTATGTTTATAAGAGTTCTTAATTTACTCGTGATAACTCAGTTATTCCGGTAAAATTAGAGGTTCCGCTCCTCAAGTTGAGTTCGGCTGTTGCAACTTCTACCACTATTATATGCTGCGTCCCAGATATGCCAAGTCTGCCAATGCCTGTTGGTATTTGGGACATTGCACTAGGCTGGTTTGTTTGGGAGTCCTCTTCTATTATGTTGATAAAATTGTTCAAGAATTTAAAATTCGAACGTAAACTAAACAAATTTGGTAACCTCTTTTTTGTGACATGAGATGGTGATTTAAATATACAAGGCAATCTAATGAACTTGATTTATTCATAATGGTTACCGATAGCGGGTTAACAATTTTTCCTTTGGTATCAGCTCTCGTATTACGCACAGGGCACCTAAATTCTTCTTAAGTTGTTTGTTAAATGTACCAATTGACAGGCAATATTTGAAAACGTTACCATTCAAGTTGGTGAAATATGACAGATATTATCTGGACCTTGTTTAGGTAGAAGAGTACTTGAAGAATAGTAAGGTGGATTAGCTTTTACTCAAGCAGAATGGATAACGATCATTAATAATGATAAAGCTGGTGGCAGAAATTTGGTTGTAGTGCATCTGTCACACTTCTTTTGTTCCAGCGACCTATGCTGATGGCAATGTTAGCAAGAAAATGCTTGCTTTCCTGTTTTGACCAGAAACGGAAACGATCATCGTTTAATGTAATCACTTGCAAATTGCTTTTTATTTAAATTTGTGATTATAAATATTTCCAATTGTATATGAACTGAAACATGCATCTGTTAGTAGTTCTTTATCAGCTTTATCTTCATTATGCTGACAGAGTTCAGAGGAAAACCTACAGAGGCTATACGTGGAGGAAGGTAATGAATTTTATTGGTTTTGTTTTTTTTTTTCGTTTGAATTTCTTCGTGGTCTTTCACAGGCTTTACTGAAACATTAATTTATGAGTACTTTAGTGTGAAGCAAGTTGGTTTCTATGATGATGATGTGCGGTTCTGGCAACACTGGCGGAATCGCTCTGCAGCTGCTGAAGCACCATCTGCTGCCAATCAACAATCCTCAGCTTTTAGTTCACCTATTCCATCCACTAGAGGAAGACATTTTATCGTCATTTGCTGTGAGAACAAAGCCATATTTTTGGATTTGGTTACTATGCGAGGGCGTGATGTTCCTAAGCAAGAGCTCGATAACAGGTCTCTTCTATGGTATGACATATCATTCCAACCTTTTTCTTCTCTGGTTTTTCGGTGGACTGTAAAACAGTCATTTAAGTATTATGTATAAAGTATGCAGGTCTCTTTTCTTATCCCTCTGTATAAATTAATACCTTCTTTTGCTTTCTCTACTTTGGGTAAATATTTTGGTTCCAAATGATAATGTGGACTCTAGGATAAATAATAATGTGGACCTGGTTATAGCTTTTCTAAATAAAGGTACAATACATGCTTTTTAGATGTAATCATGGTTTTTTAAACAAGTTTTCATAAACCTATTAATTTCTTTGACTTGAATTTGCCTTTATTGACTTGCTTAAGTTTAATGATTTACATGGAATACAATTGTTAATTTTGTTCCACATATTAAGATCTTGGTGATTGGTGGGGGGCCTTGTTTGACTGTAATGTCATAATGGAAATATTGGTCAAAAGCATGTTGTATGCCTTGTATGTTCTTAGACCTCACATAAACATTTTGAAAAAACAAAGCAGCAAAATGAACCTTTAATAACAAAAGTAGAAATAGAATATAAAAATGAAATGAAGAACAAAAAGAGTAAACTTGTCTATGAAAAATAAAAAGGAAGAAAAATAAGATAAATGGTAACTTTTCCTCTCTCTCTCTTCTTCCTCTCCCCTCTTTCTCCCTCTCCCTCTCTCTCTTTTTGTAGCGGTGGTACTGCAACAAGCTAGTCTTTGGTTGAAACTATATCTGGGTTTGTATATTGATAAGTGCCAGCCTACTTTCTGGTTCTTAATTGGACTGGCAAAAGTTGGATGGAATGGTATCAACCAATCAGGTTTTTAATCATATATTTCTCAGTAGCTAAGAAGTTCTGTTTTATTTTTTGAGTCAACTCATTGTGTTTCTTTTATGTTAAGTGTTTGACCATTGCCTATATGATTGTTGTTACCTTTATCGTAATTGGTAGAGGAAACTGTTGCTGCTAAAATATTTCCGATTCCTTTATAATTTTGGATGTAGTTAATGCTGTTGCAACTGTTGTCTAGGGCATTGGTTTTGATAATCTTTTGCTATGGCTTGTTAAGATCTTGGTCCAGTATCGATACTTTCTTTTACTAAATAATTAATCAAAAATATGTTTTAAGACCTATTATGAATTATTGATACGAGGGTGATGCATAATGGATTTTGAAAAAAAGCTGACAGTACAGTTGTATTTGCCGAAATAAGTTTTTTGAATAGAAAAGGAACAAACTCATGATAAAACTTTAATAAGATAAAAAAGAAAGCTCACCACCAAGTTTAATATCATAAAGGGATACAGAAAGTTCATCACCCTAAGGATAATAAATAAGGATACAAAACTAAAAGCAAAATACTCATCACTCAAAGATATATCCAAGAGATACAGAGTTTAAAAGAGCACTCAAAGAGAGCTTCTGATACAATCAGTTTCTAAACTCCTTTATAACCCTAAAACATCAAAATAAGTACTAGTGCATGAAACAACCTTTCGTGCATAGGGAATTACGAGATTAAGTGTTTTACAGCTGGTAACTAACTCCTTTAATGCGTTCCTTAGTCATGAATAATAATAACATCTTGAAATAGCTTTAACTTTGTGTAGGGAATATGCTTATGAGTTGTCATGTTTGAGTGGGCTGAGTTGAAAACTACGAGGCAATATTGTGGGTTGAAAAAAATATCATAGCATCAGCAAGGTCCTTATGAGCAGATTAGCAGTCTCATATTTCAGACCTCTTAAGTATCTTGCAATGGTTTGCTCTTCTGGTTCCATAAGCTCTCCTTTTAAAATGAGATTATCGAATTCTGCTGTGTACTCCTCCATACTAAGATCTTTTTGCTTGAAATCATGGATTTTGAGAAAGATCTCTTGCTTATAATTGTCAGGTAAATATTTTCTCTTCAGCTCCCTTTTCATTTTCTCCCATGTCACGATCATACTCTTCCCCTCACGTTCTCTTTGTTTCTTCAGATTTTCCCATAAAAAAAATGCATTTCGTCTAAATTTGAGTGCCACAAATTTTACCTTCTTTTGTTTTAGTGGTTTATAAAAATCGAAAATTCTTTCTATTGTATTAAGCCAATCGATAAAGTCATCAACATTGATTTTACCTTCAAACTCTGGAATATCCAGTCTTGGGTTGTATTTATTCTGTCACTCGTCTTGGACTCCATGTTTTGCTCAAAATCTTCTCGACTCCCTTGGAAGAGGAGGTGTATTATCATCAGAAGTAAACTCTTGGACATCATTTTCATGCTGGTTGTTTCTACTTCGAAAATTTTTAATTATTTTAATTTTTTTCTTGCAGACTATGCAACAATCTTCGTAGCTGTAGTCTTAACGACTCAACATCATCTTCATGGTTGCTACCTTCACCAATTATATCTTTTCCATTCTGCCTTGCCATGATCTCTAACCTTTAGCTCTTCTACCAAACTGATACGGGGGTGATGCAGAATGGATTTTGAAAGAAAGCCGATAGTACAGTTGTATTTGCCGAAATAAATTTTTCGGATAGAAAAAGAATAAACTCACGATAAAACTTTAATAAGATCGAAAAGAAAGCTCACCACCAAGTTTAATATTACAAAGGGATATAGAAAGTTCACTACCCCAAGGATAATAAACAAGGATACAGAACTAAAAGCAAAAGACTCACCACTCAAGAACACATCCAAGAGATTAAGAGTTTAAGAGAGTTTAAGAGGCGATGTTAAAGACTCACCACTCCAAGAGAACTTCTGCCAATATCATCAGTTTCTAAACTCCTTTCTAACCCTAAAGCATCAAAATAAGTACTAGTGCATAGGAAATTACGGGATTAAGTGTTTTACAGCTGGTAACTAACTCCTTTAATGCGTTCCTTAGTCATGAAGAAAAGTATCTTGAAATAACTTTAACTTTATGTAAGGAATATGCTCATTAGCTGTCATATTTGAGTGGGCTGAGTTGAAAATTATGAGGCAACATTATGGGTTGAAAAAAATACCATAGCATCAACAAGGTCCATATAAGCAGATTGTAACAAATTAGGCATTCCCGTGTCAAGTATGTAATAAAAACACATTTATAAAAACTTGTAAAATGCATGAAGTCAAAAAATTCTGATGAACATGCAATAATCATGATATCCTAGTCACTAAGCTTAGTTTTGCTTCTAGTTTCTATTGGAATAATAGAACAAGTAGATTGCAGTTGCTGATGTGGAACTAATTCTTAGCTATGTGACCACAATGAGTAAAAATGCCATTATTTATGCTGTCATTCTGAGTCACAAGTCAAATTTGGTAAAATGAGATTTATTATCAACATTATATTATGGTCCATCCATACCAGTAGGATGACTGTGACCATGAGAAAGTCCTATTTCTCAGCCAAATACTCTCATCCATTTGAATTCATCTACCTCCTTCTCTTTGCTTTGTCTTTTCTTTCTTAAACCAATCTAGTGGATAATTTGGTGCCATGATTGTCATTTTGGATGGCATGGGTGAATTACTTGTTTTTAATCCTCACTCCACCAATCTGTATTTGTGAATAAAAAATGTAAGATCCATGATACTGGCCTCATGAAGACCAACCTTACTTTATTATTGTGGACCTCATGACCAAGTTAGATGGAGAAGTATTTTTATTCTTTTTAAATTGTTGTTCATTGATAATATTTAATGAATTTACTGAGTGTGATGAGTGATCTTGCCTCTTGTGGATGCTGTAATTACATGAGCTAAGCTAATTATGATTAGTGGTGCTAGAGATAGAAAAACTCATAAGAAGACTTTATTCAAACTACTAAAAAAAAGAATTGAATGATCTAAATTTAGTAAGATATTATTTTACATAGAGCTCAATGGTGGAAAAAAAATTCATTTAGTCTATCCCAAATAGTTAGATCCTTACAACTTATTTTTATTGTTTAGATTGGGCCCCATAAATATTGCCAAAATGTCTGAAATTGCCTTTTGAGTTGTATGGCGGAAGTTGACAAGGACCATTGTGTATGATCCTCAAATGCTGAGATGGTCTCATTGATGACATCAAGACATGCATGAGAAATGTCAGTGTCCCTTTCTAGGGCACTTGGACTAGTTTGTCCCTGAGGGGACCCCACCAATGCAAAATCCAATGGTGTTTTGAATTTCTTCTTGCAGTATATGATGTTACTGATGGGACCTGTTTTCGGCACACAAGGATATCAAAGAATGGCTTACGTCGGCTCCCAACATTTATTTCAGAGGACTACAAAGTTTGTCTGCAGCAGCCAGCTGAGAGGAAGTACGATTCTGTGCACAACGAGAATATAAGGGAGTGGTATGTGCAACTATTCAATTTAAAGGAAAGGAGGCTATTTGAATTGATATAGTCGAAAATGTCAGGAGAACTGTTGTATTGTTGCTGCAACAAACAAAAGAAAAGGAGAAAGATGTAAAAGAAAAAGACTGGGAAGAATGAACCATGTTTGGTGAAGAACTTTTATTCTAAGAAACCACTAGTCTTTTTAGATCAGCTGCATGTAACTTTTCTATATCCTGTCCTAAACTATGCCATTCTAGGTTGCTTGAAGGAATAAAAATAGTTGTATTTCCTTTTCTTCTCTCAGCCTAGTTACCTTTCAAATGAACTGGAGTTTTGAGTCCTTCAAGATTTTGCTTCCCAAAATTTCAAGATCTACTGGTTGCCTATAGCTTAGGATAAAACATTAATTGGTCTTGCTCTTCTGTTTGGATAACTATTTCAGTTCTAGGGTATCCCAGAGAAAGTATGATGAGTGTTCTTGTAGAGATACAGAAAATGTAGACCAGACAGAGTTCATATCTTATAAATCTTACCTTGTTCAACTCTGATCTGAATTTGGAAGATCACTTGTCATATGCACCACTTTAGTCTTTGAGTTTCCCTCACCTTCTTTGGTTTTGTTCATCACTTTTCTTTTTTCTCTTTGAGCAGGGAGAATTTTAGAACCAAGGGTTTTTAGAATAAGGATTTCTCACTATATTGGAAGCAAATTTGGTATCATATACTCATGCTATGACAAATTGACTGGTGGCAGGGTAGAATGTCATGGTTGCATTGCCTGTGGGCATGGCACACGGTAATATCCTACTTGCTCTTTCCTGTGTTGTCAAGGTAACCTTTGGCTGAGGCTTCTGCACCCCCTGGCAGTGAACTTTCTGCAACGGCTTGAGGATAAGATGTGGTAGTTTGATGGTTTGTAATGATTTTGTACAACATTGATGCTCTGAAATGATACAGCGGTATAATGCTGAGGAAGTCCAAATAAGACTTTGTTTCAAGCTACGGAAGGATGCCTATTTGACTGAGGATCTCACCCTTTATTATGTTTGAGAATCAATTGCCTGTCTCTAATAGCTGTCAATAGCTTTTCATTATCACTGTTGTTGCTCCTTCATTTGGGCCTTTGACTTTTCTATCAAACTGGACTTCCATTGGTCTTCAACATTCATCATTGATTCTTTCTTGGTTGGACAGTATCTACATATAAATATCTGGACTTGTATTTCTATGCAGTATGGAGTTTCTTTCCAGATCTGCTACTGGTGATGGCCCACTTGTTGCTTTTGGTGGATCAGATGGTGTAATAAGAGTTCTGTCAATGATAACATGGAAGGTTTTGACACCTACACTGTGCTGTGTCTAAATATTTGCTTGCATTGTTATTGAAAATGTTAGCTAGAGTTCCGCTTTGCAGCTTGTCCGTAGGTATACTGGTGGCCATAAAGGATCGATCACTTGCTTGATGACATTTATTTCATCTAGTGGCGAGGTAATATCTTGTTTAATTTTGGCTATTGTATTTGAGGCTAGAATAGCTTCACTTTATCCATATTAGGATTATATTGCATGTTATTGTCTTAAGAATTCCTATCAGTGATATCTACAAATATATTGTTCTCTGATCAATGCGACTTTGGTTCTCCACAGTGACTGAGAGATGATAACAACTTTGAGATGCTTTGTTCACTGATTCCTAAGTTCCTTTGAGCCCTTTTAGATTTGGTGCAGAGATATCTCGAGTTCACTGTAATAGCAGTTCGCAAAGCAGAACATGTCCATTTTAATTGTCATATACTAGAGTGGATGGCTGGATTTTCAATTGCTTAGCTACTAATTCAAATAAAATGTGGATTTAATTAAGTTTGTTAGCAGTTTAGCACCCATGGTCTTATATGATTATTTAAAGATAATTATATCATAAAGTTGCTATTTCCTTTATAGTTTTAGACTTTTACTTGATAGTTCATTAGGTAAGTTTTATGTTGTATGTGTATTTTATGCGAAATAATAATTTTATATCTTGATAACTAAGATATCCGGCATAAATGATGCCAAAAACAAATCAAAACACTAAATACACCACAGCTTTCTTATTTTGCATATGTATGGAGCCTGCAACATTGTATAATGATCCAAAATTGTTAAGAAAATTTCTTCTTTCAGTAATTTTTAAATATTTATTGTTTTTTAGCTGATTGGAAATTGCATACACCTTGTCATTTTGGTTATTGAAGTATAGAAAAGACCTTTAATGAACTTTGGACATGTTCAGACCTCGGAGAAATGATGCCATTCCTTGCTTCTTTTCAAAGGACAAAACATCATTCTAGCCTATTATGAGTAATATTCATGGTTGGTCTATGTAAGAACTATTTTTCTTGACCTCAGACGGGGGACAATAAGTAGAGACAATGATGCAAAATCAACTAATGTTTGTTGGTTTTGCTTCTTGAAGGGCTTCCTTGCTGATACTTCGATATCAGCAAGGCAGGGACAAAACCTGTTATCGTACATTGCTCAGAACATGCTGGGAGTTTGCAACTTGTCTTAAAGATTGCGATTGGTGGAAGCCTAGAATCTGACTGGTATTATTTAGAAAACCGCATCACCTCAAGTTGGAAGTATGGCTTAAGCCATGCTAGGCATGGTTGATATTTGCTCAATATGTTATCCAGTAATTCTTGGTTTCTTCATCATTTGGCAAGGTCAGTTGGGAGGAAAAGAAAAAGATGCGACATTTCTTGTTTGGTGGTTGACTCAGAAGAAATATGTGAGAGGGGTTATTAGATTATCTGCATTTAAAAATAAGTCCATTAAAGTTTTATTTGATTTTTCATGTATGTCCATGTTGCTGTGGTTTTTATATGTACAGTACCATATAATGTTAGTCTGCATTTTCAGGTATTCCTAGTTTCTGGGGCAAGTGATGGTCTGCTTATAATATGGAGTGCAGACCATATCCATGATTCACGTGAACTTGTGCCCAAGCTTAGTTTAAAGGTAGCTTAATCTTCTTTTGTTTTTTTCCCTTTCTTTGCTAGTGGTTTATGATAGAATATCTGTTGCCTTCTTCCAGTTCATTTCTCAGTATATCCCTTTGTTTCTTAACAACTAAAGGATAAGTCCTCATTTTATTTCTGGATTAAGATGAAACAAATAGTGTCTGGTTAGACTAAATATACTTTGACAATAACCTTTGCAAGGCACATGATGGAGGGGTGGTGGCTGTTGAGCTTTCAAGGGTGATGGGAAGTGCACCTCAACTCATCACTATTGGTGCTGATAAAACTTTAGTTATATGGGACAGTATCTCATTCAGGGTATGTTGTATTCTGACCTGATACTCATACCATCATAAGTTTCTGTCAGTCTCTTTTGCCACAATAGTCTATATCCAATTGCAGGAACTTAGGCGTATAAAACCAGTTCCAAAACTTGCTTGTCATAGTGTGGCATCTTGGTGCCATCCCCGCGCTCCAAACCTTGATATTCTTACTTGTGTTAAAGATTCTCATATCTGGTATGCGTTTCCTCTTTCTTTGTGTAAGTTCGATCCTTTATGCTCGTTACCTAGTTGCTGAGGCATGTTTCCTTAAGTTGGGATATGCTATGGTCATTATAGTTTCTTTTGGCTTTAATAACAGGGCTATCGAGCATCCAACTTATTCAGCTTTGACGAGACCATTGTGTGAATTATCATCACTTATTCCTTCACAAGTGCTTGCATCAAATAAGAAACTCAGGGTATGCCACTAAATTTCTAGTGTCTGAATGATTGGACAAATATATCATTCTATGACATGGGAAGTTCTTTTCTTTGTCGTTTATATTGATTGGACAGTTGCAACTCTGGTTATCAGTTGTGACCCCCAAGATATTATTCAAGTTAATCACATTCTGCCTTCATAGTTTACTAGAAAGATTCAATTAGGCTAAGTGAAATCCCTTGTTTCAAAGGGTTTCATTGATGGTGCTTTTTTGCATTGTTGAACCTGTTTTTGTTGGAGGTACATATGATGCAATTGGAGGTTACGTTTTTAATCTTGCAATTCAAGTTGCAAACTATTGTTAACATTATAAAATCTAAGGCTAAATTGCTGCTTTTTTAAGCATTTGGGTGCATTTTGCTCCTTTCTAGTGCATGATTGCACTTAAAGTAGTGCTTTTTTTTGAACTTTTGACATTCACTAAAGAACGGTCCAGTTGGACCATCACTTGCGAGCATGGATCTAAGGCCTTTGTATTAAATCTGGTATTTTTTTGATGATAACATGATTGTTATTTTTTTTTCAAGTTTAACCATGTTTCAAATCATAGGTGACTTTCTTGATCACTCAATTGTTAAAGACCATTTAAGCTGACTTGGAGGTTTACTTTTTTATAATTTTCTAGTTTCCATGAAGAATACATCATATCTTTGATCCTTGTACTTACATGGTATGTTCTTTCTTTTTGTTACTGTTGGTCAGTCATATTACAAATAGTTTGCCTTTGTTCACATAGGAAACAGAACCTTTATTTGGTCTTCCTGAAAGAATATGTCTGAAAACAAGGGTATATATTGCAGGTGTACTGCATGGTTGTACATCCATTGCAACCACATCTTGTGGCTACAGGAACCAATATTGGTGTTATTTTAAGTGAACTCGATGCACGGGCTCTTCCAGCTGTAGCTGCTCTACCGACACCACCTGGTGGCAGAGAACATTCTGCTGTGTACACAGTTGAAAGAGAGCTCAAGTTATTAAACTTTCAACTGACTAATACTACTAATACATCTCTTGGGAGCACTGGCACCATTTCTGAAACTGGAAAATCCAGGATGGAAACTGAACAATTGCTTGTTAAGCAGACAAAGAAGCATATCAGCACTCCTGCTCCACATGATTCATTTTCTATTCTCTCCATAAGCTGTTCTGGAAAGTGAGTTTCTTTTCTTAAATTGATGTGTTATTTATACTATTTTAGTCTTTGCTTAGTTCTTTAACACCTCTATGTTCTTCGAGTAGTTCCCGTTGGTCGATGGAAAGATAAACTGCAACTCCCATGCATGGCCTCCACCATCATGTTGTAGGGTTTATACCGATTTTGTTCGCCTTAGCTTCCTTGGTAGCAACTTTCATTTACTGGGCCTTGTCCTCTGACTTATCGGGCTCCCTTAAGCGAATATGAGCTCTGGAGCAATCCAACTCTCCAACCTGTTACGGCCTTAGTTGAAATTGCCTAAGGCGTGAGGCACCCTTGCCGCCGAGACGCGAACTTAGCTTGCGTTGCCTAAGTCGCGCTTCGCCCTTGCGATTTACGCCCGTAAAGATCAGCCCACTTGTAACCTCTCGCAGGTCCCGAAGGACCTGTAAAAAGAGAAAGTTGGTTAGTTCAAAAAACGAGCGACGGACAAGTCCCGACGTCTCGCGAAAAGGGGAAGCTTTACAAGCAATTCAGTGAGCACCTTGCGTGCACAAGAGAAAAGAGGGAGAGGAGGAAAACAAGGACTTTAGAGGGTTGAACGAACAGCTGCAAATCCACAAACAGCTGCTCACTGGGTGTCGGGTGCGACAACAAGTTCCCGTCAAGGTAACGTGCGAACTTGCGAAAGGTTGTTCAACGCCCGACACTATACCGAAGCCCCATCCAGCCCTGTGCCACCCGGGAGGTTCAAAGGGGCTTAGATGGCTGACGTTTTGGTGAGCGGAGGCGGGCTGCAGAAAACAGCCTGCGGCACACGAAAACGGAGCTGTTTTGGGCTGTTTTAGGGCTGTTTTGCTCGGTTTGGTGAGCGGTCGCTTTGTAGCGCTGTAACTTGTTCGAACTTACATTTTTACAAGCAAAATGACTCAAAACCAAGGCAAAACAGGCTGCCAAGTAGCTGTACATGTAGATGAGAGCGACTAACGGTTCGTTGAACGGAGTTGTTGCGGGTGCGCGACGACCGTTCGTGACAAACCGTTCCAATTATACCTCTGTATGATAAAGTCCCCCCTCATGGGACTCATTAGTACTTGCATTCGAAATTCTCCCTCGGTGGTACACAATCCCCATATGCTGATTACCAAGACTTTTATCTTATGCAAAATTCGATCCACGCATGGAAGACCTGCCTCTGCGATACTATGATATTCACTCTTTGAATCCATAGTCTTTCTTATTGTCGTGTTATTTACTAAAGTGGAGCTCCCAGTAGCTCCCGATCATACCTCCGTATAATCTAGTCCCTCATAGGACTAGTTTTATGTGTATCACATTGCCACGAACTGTTTCACCACGATCCGTTGTACCATGTTGCCTCCTGGTGATATCTACATTGCATTCTTATTATTGTGGGATTAACTCGGATTGCGATCCCTCCTTGTGTGGCCTCTGCCAACACAACGCAGGGCCTCTTCCACCTTCAATTGTGTTCCCTCCACTGACAATCAACCTTCGTCTACCAGCTTTTGGGTCACACCCAAACGAAGCACAGCTCTAGGATAGCTCGTCGCCTAGTAGCTCCCGAAGTCCACCGACTTTGTTAAAATTGGTGCACCATTGTTTGGATCTTGGGCCTCTGCCCCCACCAGCACAATCTTCATTACGCACCGCTTCCTTCATGACAACTTGAATGACAGCACTCTGGCGTATTCTTCAAGAGTACTCGCCTCCGCATCCTCTTGCTCTATGCCAAGGCCTTCTAAACCCAACTTCGCCTCCGTAAGTTGAGTCGTCTTGGTTCCTCTATCAAATGCTTCTTCGAGATAGGGTGCATGTGTCTTGAAGCTCCCTTCGTCTTTGGCTCTATGTAGGATGAGACTGCTCCATCAGAATGAAGGACTCATGGAACGACATGATCCCGCTCTTGCCTCTGCAAGTGTTCATATCCTTGACCTCTGTCAAAGGAAAGCTTCATGCCTTCGCTTCATGTTTCATCTTCTATGTCGACTCCTTTCATGCGGCTTGGGTACTTTACCAAGTTACACCCAAGTTGCTCCGCTCCTCGATTTGCATTGAGTTGATCTCCATATCGACTTCAAGTGTGCCTTCATTTTGTGTTGTCTTGAGTCGCTCCCCCACTTGATCTCACAATGCATCCACCAATGCATTACCTCATGTGAGATCATGCGATGACTCCTCACCACTCGCTCGGTCCGTTAAACTTTGTGGGGTTGTTGTCTTGAGGTATTCCTCCTCAACATGTGTGGTCCGTTACACATGATTGTCCTTTTAGAGAACCGAGACTTGTCTCTCTAAGGTATCTGTCTCATTGGAGCAACTTCTATCTTCGCATCCTTCCCTTTGGAAATTTCGGAGACCACCATCCCCTTAGACTACTTCCCCTTGCTGAACAAACTGTGCATTGTTCTGCCCTTGCGAATGCACTTGTTAGATTGAGACTCTTTGCCAATACAACCCTTACTACACCCCTCAATGTCTAGAAATATGCTGAACTCGCTGCATACTTCAGCCTCCTATGGATGTATCATTTTTATTCCGAAGAGAAAGTTTCAATGCTCCATGGCGTCGAGTTTCGATCGCCTTGGGATGGCCACGAACATTTCATTGTTCGGATACAAGCCCTTGTACGAGTAGTGAATTCTTTGAGTTAGCAATTCTCCTCACCTCTGTGAGTTTTACACAACTCTTTCAGTTGCTAAATAACCCATTGCACTTTGCACAGTCTCATCCTTTACCAAGCACCTCGCTTGTCTTAAGAACCATCAAGTATGGTTGCCAACGTCGAGCCGTCGCTCGAACTCAGCCATCCCAACCTTTATGCGCTACGCATTCTTAGCTTGCTTGTCCTTGTGGTGCCTCTTGCACGAAGGGTTGGTCATTCCTCTAAATGCCAATCTTAGATGCCTGCTCCTCTGAGCGACTCATTTTCCCTACATCTCTATGCCCGTTTCCCCCAAACGGTCATGCATGCTGGCTGCCCTCAACGCAGTCCTGCTAGGTCCCCTACGTTTGCATGGCAAGTGTTTCTATGTATGCTTGTCCTGCTCTAATACCATGTTACACACTTAGTTGGTTTTGTCTACGTCGTGTGACACCCTTGTGTGTCCGTTCGCAAAGGTCAGCCTCTCTGAAACTTCCTATGATTCCTTAGGAGCCATAAAAGAGAAAACGGGTTAGAAAAAGTGTTTTACTTGGGATCCACAAGTAATCATTTTAGTAAACACTTTATAGCCAATACAAATTATAAACAAACGTCACAAGCTCTGAACGGTCGCACAACAAAGGGTTCAAAATGGTCCATTATAAATCGAAATCCCCACAAGTGCTCACATGACATATCTTTTGTTTGCAAGCCTAAGACCACCAAAACCAAAGAAAATGGGGCTGCTAAGCCTACTGTCAGACCTTTATATGCTGTGCAAAGCATAAATAAAACCGAAAGACACGGAAATACATAAGCATTACATCAAACACCCCGTTTAAAGTTGTGTCCGTGACACCAAGCCTAGCCAAATCTAGCCTGCTTAAGGTGACTCATGTGTTCAGAACTTGCTTAAGGAATTAGGGACCTATTGGTAGTTTAGGTTGGTCTATTGGTAACGAGCCATCTTTGTCTTCTCTTTATTTTAAGACAAAATCCAAAGCAATTAGGCTCGGTGAAACCAAATTTTCTTTCCTAAGTGAATCAAGGTCTAAATTCTCAAAAAATAGACCCTTGTAAGTTAGGTTAGATAAAGTTATAAGTTGTCCCTAAACTGATTAGCAAGAGTCTAAAGGAATATACTTGCAAATGCATATACATTAAATTATTGTGGAGCTTGCATGTCTAACTTCTAAAATCTTTGTTACACTTCCAACCATTGTAGTTAAAGGCACTAGGTGGTTAAAAGACGCCAAGGTGCTAAAATGCTTGAGCGAAACAAGGTGCTAGGTGCTCACCCGAGCAAAGTTGGGCACCAACAAATATCGAATTATTGTGGAGCTTGTACATCCAACTTGTAAAATGTTTGTTTACACTTCCAACTAGTGTAGTTAAAGGTGGTTAAAAGGTGCCAAGGTGCTAAAATACCCAAGCTAAGTGAGGTGCTAGATGCTCACCCGAGCTAAGTGAAACGGCAACGAATATTAAATTTTTAATATATTATTATTAAGAAATATGAACACTAAATTAAAATTGACAAATTAAATTGCATTTATTTAAGCTACCAAATTACATTGACAAAATCTAATAATAAAAACAAAATAAGATTAACTTTAATGTTTATAAAAAATCCACTTTATCATCTTTAACATCTTCAATCTTGCTAGCATCTTCCTCTTCACCTAATTTGTAGCACTCAAGCTCTTATTTATCTTTATTAGAATAAATTCCTCCTCTTCGATGGTTGTTGGTTATGAACTTGAGGTTTTTATATTTATTCATTGTTCTCGCGAGTTGTCATTCTCATTTCTCCAACACTTGCTACATTCCCCATGTCAAATTATCTTTATAAAAAATAAGCTCTTCTTCAACATTTTGTAAGTTAGCATCCATTTCTCCCATCGATCATTCATTTAAATCATCAATATCTTCTAACGAAAATAGATCAATGCACTCTTGCAAATTGTAGCAAGCCTTTAATGCTTGATTATATTTTATATATATTAAAGATCTACTTAGTTGCATCAATGTCTAAAAAAAATAAATTAGTTGAAATTAAAATATTCTTATATACTTACATTCTCAAATGCACTCTAATTTCACTCATATCAAATTAAACTTTGAATTTTGATAACTAATTGCTATAAGTTCGATGTGAAATTTTTAAATAGGCCCCACCACTTAGCCAGCGATTTCAATAGGTGCTCGGGCACTCGCCTAGGCGCTCGGGCGAGGTGAGGCGAGGCCCGAGCGCCTCGCTTCATGTCCAAGCATCTCGCTTCAAAGAGGCATCGCCTAGGCGCTCTCCCGAGCCTAGGTGCCGAGTGCTTCGAGCGAGCCCCCAGGTTAAACC